ATTTAAGGAATATTATATTTACCAAATGATACAACCATATATTTTCCAATTACATTTGCTTGATGAAGAGCTCTAGGCTTTGGGATTTTTCCAGAAATTTTTGGAATATACCAATTATTATTAGCTAAATCTAATACGTAAAGTGTAGTATCTAAATATCCAGGATTTATAAAATATCCTCCAAAAATTATAATTCTTTTACCATCTAAACCTGTTAAAATATAATGAAAATTTACTATTACTAATATTATTAATCTTTTAAAATAATCATAGCGTTCTTATTTGATTACATACCAAGAACAGCGGAAAAACCAGCTCTATTAGAAGGGATATTTCCTGATGTTACCTAAATTTAATAATTGAAATTAATTATTCAAACTGAATATAAAAATTTTCATCATAATAATTTGCATAACTTACCCTGTAAAAAAAAAATGTCCGGAAATTGTAGCTAAAAACATCCGGAAAATGTCCGTGTGTCCGGAAAACGTCCAGAAAATTGCAATATTCCGGACACTTTCTGGACGCTGGGTCTGAACCCTCCTAGACATTTTCTGGACATTTTCTGGAAAATGGAAATTTTCCAACGTCCGGAATATTGCAATATTCCGGACATATTCCAGACAAATAAACATTTTCCGGACGTTTTCAGCTACAATTTCCGGACATTCTTTTTTTATAGGGTTACTTTTGTATCCCAATTGTCATTAATCATATCATATATATAAATCTACAAATAATTTATCATAATTAATAGATTTATCTTTAAAAAAAAATTTTATATTTACAAAATATACCTCACTTAATGTTAAAGTAGTTCCTTTAACAATATTCAAAGTATTAGAATTAAAAGAAGTAGTATCATAGTCATTACCGCCTAAACAATAAGTGTTCATTAATAAAATAACAGATATATTTAAATAAATATAATATGTCGCTTACCCATGTAAATAATTTTATTGTTAGGTAATAAAATGGCCCCATAATCAGTTCTTGGAGTTGGAGCATTAATTATACTTCCTTTACTCCAATTAAGATTTATTGTATCTAAAATAAGCATGTCATTTACAAAATCAGTATTTGTGCACCCACCCCATAAATACATCCTTCCGTCGTTATTAATAATGCCTGTTAAACTCCGTTTTCTAATTGTATTAACTCCAGCTATCTTTGGAATACTCCATACAATACTTTGTGAATCAAATGTATAAACCAATGACATTGTTTGATCTGTACTAGTTCCTCCGTATAAAAACAGAGTATAATTATTTGGACCACCTTTAACTGATGCTGCAAAACCATGCGGCGGAACCATATTAATATTTGATAAATCTTGCCATGATAATTCTTGAGTATTAAATAGTACAGAAACGTCAAGATAAAAAAATTCTTTTATTACATTTCTGTTTAAATCCAACCCACCCAAAATATACAATTTATTATCAATAAGTGTAGCAGTATGACGACAATATACATTTGGCTTAAAGGGTGTCATTTGACAATTTACTTCAACTAATACTTGTATTAGTATCCATAATATAATGAAGTAAACTGAAGAATTTCTTGACATGATCGTAATTTATTTAATACTAGTAGAAATGAATAATATTTAAAGAAAAAAATATTAATTCACTTTTTAAAAAAAGAATTTTACGGTATTTAAATTTTTAACGTTACACTTATTAGCATTAAAAACATGGATGCATAGAACGGCGGGATCATAATATTCAAGTATTTTATTTTTCATTAATGCACACTCACATACCCTATGAAATTTATTAGCACAATCCACATGTATTGCATAAAATCATAAGAAAATAATAACAAATCCAATAATGTTAAAACGTTACCCAAATAATTATTAATTCTTTGACTTGAAAATACGCTGTGTAAAAAAAGATGTTCCAATAAAAAATAAATTGTTACAACAAGAATGATTTTAATTCTTTAAATTATACCTAAATAAATGTGCAGTGTATTATCGTGTTAAATTGCATTTGAAAAATTCAAAAATAGATGACTTAAATGCTGATTGAAAGTTAAGAATTTATCTTTCAAAAGAAAAAAAAAATTTTCTTGAAACTATGATGAATATTGATAAAAAAACAAATAGTATAATAATATATACATATATATCTTTCACTTTTTGCATAAAATTGGTTAAATATATAGATCCTTAACGGTAACAAGAGAATGGTTAAAATAATAGTTTCTATATTAAATTTCTATATCAAGTAATATTATAATGAATTGGATTCCGCATGTATTTATAATTACACAACTACCCCAGTCGCACCGACAAAAAATTTAGCGCAGGGCCGGCGTTACAGCATTATGCACGAACACGTGAAAATAAACAGTGAAACTCGGACGAGGGTGTGACGACGTGATAAATTAAAAATATGTCACGTGATCGCTAAATTTTTGTCGGTGTGACTGGACTAGTTTAATTACACCTGATCGTATTAAAATATGCATTTACACAATGTACCATTATTTTTAACAATTAATGGACATGATTCGTCAGGTTCTTAAGAACACTATAAATTTTAAGAATTAAAAATTTTGGCTTTATTCAGTTTAATCTGGCCAAGGAAATGTTGTCTATTATATGACTATTTTGATACAGCAGTAAACTAGTAAAGCAATAAGAAAACTTTTTCAACCATTTTCTTTTGCTTATTTTTTTCAAATATTTCATAAATATCTTTTATTTTAACGCTATTTTAATTATATAAAAAAAAATATTTTACTTATTTATTTATTACAGTATTTGTATTTATGACTTATAGTTAACAAGATTTTCTTTATGAATAAATGATTTTTTATTTTATTTTCATGTTAAAGTGTTAAAATGGAGTGTATTTACAAATTATTAAAAAGAAAAATAAAAAATTTAAATCTAATTCAGCAAAAGATTTAGTATAGATGGTTTAATTTAAAAACCATTGTGTTTAACCAAATTTTCAATTAAAAAAAAACAATTTATAATACCAAAAAAGATCTAATAATACTATTTTAATAAATAAAAAAAAGATTTATTAGCGTTCTAATTAAAAAATTTTAACAAAATTTATGAATAACAAAAATTCTGGTTGATTAATCAACCTTTTCAAGCTTAATAAAAGTTGTTTATTTCACAAAATTATACCTAAAAATTAAATGTTTACTGGTTAAAAAAAGCTCCCATTAAAGTATTATTGGAATAAAGAAATTCTTTTTTATTATAAAAATTGTTTGTTTGCAAAAACTACCTAACTAATTAACTTTTTTAACTTAAGAGATCTTTTTCCCCTCATAAAATTACATATATTTTTATTATTTAAATTTTAAATTGTATTAAGCACCTACTTTTAAGTTCAATCTGGAGGAAAATTACATTTTTGAGACGAGCTTTCTTGTATATGCAAAAAGAAAAAAAAAAATATTGAAATGATGATGACGCTTTTTATTTTTATTAGAAATTTCTCATTTTAACCAGGGTAGGTAGCAAGTAAGTAACGGAAATTGGTCAAGTAAGTAACGTAAAGTTACTAATTTAGGTCAATTTCCGTTACTCCTATATATAAGGTACGGAACGTAAAGTTAATTATAGGCGAATTACTGTTTTGGGGATTTTTTAAAATCTATATCATTTAAGGGGGTCCCCCATTTAAGGAAATTTCAGTAAATAAACAATAAAAATAAATTTTTTATTACATAATTAAAAAATTTTATCAGGGTACAATCACGTGTAGAAAAAATTTTATTTATAAGTGGTTAATATTAAATTTGAAGTAGTAGGATTACTAATATCTGGATATCACTAAACTTTAAAAAAAATTTTATTAAACTGAAAATTAGGGGTTGCTTTTTTTATACTACGATAATAAAAAAAAGCTTTGTGCGACCGTGACGTTAAGACTACCCTGCATAAAAAGGTGGATTTAAATTAAATCATCCAGCATCATGTGTCTGCGCCATTTGCTACAGATTTTTATATAAATTATATAGGATTCGGAGTGGCGCATCATTTGCCATTGATTAGCTTAATTCTCGAGATTTGAATTTAAAACATCATAAACCGTTTTACGGAACAAAAAGTACTATCGTGATTGAGATCCAAATAAAGCATTTTTTCTTTTAATCTCGTGAGTCAATAGAAATAATAGATCGCGGATTTGGATACTAGCTTTGGCTTAAATTTAATTTGCATATAATATACTACTAAAATGCGATATTGCTAATAATCGATAATAAATTATTGGTTGGAGTGAACCCAAAAAGAGAGTGTAACTGTATGCGAGATAGAAATCGTCTTCTACATATTGACATTAATTCGTGATTATAATGAGATTATTTCTGCATACATGTATTTAATTTTGCTTGTTAATCTTTCTGTAATTAAATAATGTGAGACGAAGTTTCTTTTAATACCATACAATTATGTTTCAAATTCCCTTAAAGTCGAGTTTCAGATATATTTCATAATTGCTAATATAATTTTTATAAAGTAAAATCGAAAGTTAACGTTAAAAGAATTAAGGTCGAAAATCCTATAATTCCGTCGGAATAATCAGATAAAATTTTACCAGTATTTTACCGGTAATTTTAATTTCTATTTGTTTATCATGCAAATAACCAGGCATATTCATAGTACGTATTATTATTTTCTTTCTAATAATCTCTAACTTATCTTAGCATTTTAACACATGAATAGATATTATTGATAACGAAACTTTATTTTTTGAAGAAAATAATTAAAACTATTAGAGACATAGTAGTACATAGCATAAAAAATTAGGAACTAACCGAACTATCAATTTGGCCTAAGATATAATAAAATTTTTCAGTACAAAAACTCTTTTTTATATAAAATAATTTAAAAAAGAATGGAGTGAATTTCCTTTTTTTGGTAGAAACGAGAAGTACTGTGTTGTTATTACATAATAATCGAAGACTTTATATACTATATAGAACTCTTTTTTCATTTTTATCATAAATTAATAATTGATTATTAATTAATCTTGGTTTGTATTGTTCCTTGTGATGTTAAGATTATTTAAATTTTGGCCAATTTCATTTTTAACAGCTTGAAGGAGTTCATTTTTCAAGTTTTGACCAATTTCATTTTTAACAGCTTGAAGAATATCATCTTTAAAAATTTGTGATGATATCCTATTATTATTAGGTGTTGAAATTACTTCTTGCTCATAATTATAATTATTAGTATTAACTATTGCAGGAGCTGGAATTGTTGGTTCGTGATCACTAGTATTTTCATTTTGGAACGTTTGCATAATTTCTTGCCCATGATGATCATTGAGTGGAATTATTATTGGTTCATGGTTGGTTGTATTTTCATTTTCGGGTGCTAGTATAATTTCTTGCCCATGATGATCATTGACTGGAATTATTATTGGTTCATGGTTGGTTGTATTTTCATTTTCGGGTGTTAGAATTATTTCTTGCTTATGATAGTTATTCTTATTAATTATTGGAGGTGGAATTATTATTGGTTTATAATTAGACGTACTTTCATTTCTAGGTATTTGATCAATTTGAATAGTTTCTTGCTCATTATTATTGATATCTTTTTCATTATTATAAATATCCCTTATGATAGGAAGCTCCTTTTCCTCTTGACTGTAATCATCATTTTCATGAATAATTTTTTGTTTATTTTTATTCCATTTATATATCAAGAAACTTCCAACTGATAACAAAATACCACTCAATAAAGATCCCACAACTATACCAGCTATATTACCTGAATTATTTGGTGGTGGTGAAGAAGAAAGTGAAGGCGAAGATGAAGGCGAAGGTGGTGGCGAAGGTGGTGGTAATGGTGGTAGTGTTGATGGTGGTGGCGATGGCATTTTTGGATCAAATATTGTTGTCCATATATATTCTTCATTATTACTAATATCAAGCAATAATATATCACTTTCAACTGTTTTATCATAACCTTCTCCTGTTAAATCAAATTGTTTTTGTTAAAACTAGTTATCTGCTTAAGTAATAATTTAAGGAATATTATATTTACCAAATGATACAACCATATATTTTCCAATTACATTTGTTTGATGAAAAGCTCTAGGCTTTGGGATTTTTCCAGAAATTTTTGGAATGTACCAATTATAATTAGCTAAATCTAATACATAAAGTGAAGTATCTAAATATCCGGGATTTATAAAATATCCTCCAAAAATTATGATTCTTTTACCATCTAAACCTGTTAAAAATATATAATGAAAATTTACCATTACTAATATTAAACTTAAATAATAATCATAGCGTTCTTGTTTGATTACATACCAAGAACAGCGGAAAAACCACCTCTATTAGAAGGGATTTTTCCTAATGCTACCTAAATTTAATAATTGAAATTAATTCACAAAAATTTTCATCATAATAATATGCATAACTTACTTTTGTATCCCAATTGTCATTAATCATATCATATACATAAATCTACAAATAATTTATAATTAATTAGATTATTTTTTTAGAAAAAAAAAATTTATATATTTAGTAAATATACCTCACTTAATGTTAAAGCAGCTCCTTTAACAATATTCAAAGTATTAGTATCAAAACTAGTAGTAGCATCATTACCGCCTAAACAAAAAGTGTTCATTAATAAAATAACAAATATATTTAAATAAATATAATATGTCGCTTACCCATATAAATAATTTTATTGTTAGGTAATAAAATGGCCCCATAATCAGTTCTTGGAGTTGGAGCATTAATTATACTTCCTTTACTCCAATTAAGATTTATTGTATCTAAAATAAGCATGTCATTTACAAAATCAGTATTTGTGCACCCACCCCATAAATACATCCTTCCGTCGTTATTAATAATGCCTGTTAAACTCCGTTTTCTAATTGTATTAACTCCAGCTATCTTTGGAATACTCCATACAATACTTTGTGAATCAAATGTATAAACCAATGCCATTGTTTGATCAGCTGTTAATCCTCCGTATAAAAATAGAGTATCATTATTTACACCACCTTTAACTGACATTGCAGAAAAATGAAGTGGAACCATATTAATATTTGATAAATCTTGCCATGATAATTCTTGAGTACTAAATGGTACAGAAACATCAAGATAAAAAAATTCTTTTAGTCCATTGTTGTTTAAACCCAGTCCACCCAAAATATACAATTTATTATCAATAAGTGTAGCAGTATGACGACTATATACACTTGGTTTAAAGGGCGTCATTTGACAATTTACTTTAACTAATACTTGTAATAGTATCCATAATATGAAGTAAACTGAAGAATTTCCTGACATGATCGTAATTTATATAATAGTAAAAATGAATAATATTTTAATATTTAAAGAAAAAAATATTATTCACTTTTTAAAAAAAGAATTTTACGGTATTTAAATTTTTAGTGTTACACTTAGCATTAAAAACATGGTTGCATAGAATGGTGGGATCATAATATTCAAGTATTTATTTTTCACAATAATATAATTAATGCACACCCACATACCCTATGCAAATTTATTAGCACAATTTCCACATGTATTGCATTGCATAAAACCATAAGATAATAATAACAAATCTAATAATGTTAAAACGTTACCCAAATAATTAAATTAATTTTTTGGCTTGAAAATATGTTGTGTAAAAAAAGATGATCCAATAAGAAATAAATTGTTACAACAAGAATGAACCTAAATAAATATGCAGTGTATTATCGTGTTAAATTGCATTTGAAAAATTCAAAAATAAATGACTTAAATGCTGATTGAAAAGTCAAGAATTTATCTTTCAAAAGAATGAATTTTCCTTGCTGATGAAAGTCTTGCGGGTCATGAATATTGATAAATAAACAAAATAGTATAATAATATATACAGTACATCACACGGATCACGTGCTTATCATACTCGGTGATCTGCGTAAATAATTTCCTTTTTTGGAAATTTGTACAACGAATTTTCATTTTTACTGAGAATCAAAACTGCCTTTTTGGGCTGTGTAACGTTGCGCCTATTTCCATAAATGGAAATTCAAGTAAATTTTGGCTGGAATTTATAAAATTTGGCCGAAATTATAGGGCGCGACATATAATATGTGACAAATAAGGCTTCGCTGAAAAATTCGTCCCTAGAATAAATAGTAAAATGGAAAACTAGAGGATGGGTAACAATTTAAAGTCACGTGATCCGCATTTCGCACACTAGTGTATTTTAAGAAATTTTCATATATATATCTTTCACTTTTTGCATAAAATTGGTTAAATATATAATGTGGACCGCGAGGTCGATTATCGAAGTTGCATAAAAAACAAAGATCCTTAACAGTAACAAGAGAATGGTTAAAATAATAGTTTCTATGTTAAATTTCTATATCAGGGGGCCCGTTAAAGCGGGGTAGAATCACGCGATTTAAAATTATTATGATTTGATAAATTTTTTATAAACTAAAATTAAAGTGAACTTGAAAATCATTAGATAAGTGTATTTCGGCCTGCTCCACAAGTTTACTTAGGGAGAAAAAGTGGAAAAAGAACAATGTTTTTGACTTTACATATGAGCAAACGAATTTTGCTGATCATACCCAAAAAAGGATAGATCAATTTTAACGAAATTGAAAAAGTTGAATAAATCGAAAACGGTGTTCTAAACCTCATTTTGTGCTCTAAGTAAACTTGCAGAACAGGTCAAAATGCACTTAGTATATGTTTATTTGGAAGGTTTTATATATAATAAAAGAGTTTTATTTAAAAAAAGAAAAATTTCGAAAGTCACGTGATTCTACCCTGCTTTAACGGTCCCCTATATCAGGTAATATTATAATGAATTGGATTCCTCATGTATTTATAATTACACCACTAAGAGATTTGTTTGCTGCTGATCGTATTAAAATATGCATTTACACAATGTACCGTAATACAAAAATTGGATTTTCACAATTTTGTTCATTTTTGGTCCAAACGGTACACCGTACTATTTTATTTTTAACAATTATGGACATGATTCGTCAGGTTCTTAAGAACACATTTATAAACTTTAAGAATTAAAAATTTGCTTTATTCAGTTCAATCTGGCCAAAGAAATGATGTCTATTATATGACTATTTTGATACAGTAAACTAGTAAAGCAATAAGAAAACCTTTTCAACCATTTTCTTTTGCTTATTTTTTTCAAATATTTCATAAATATCTTTTATTTTAACGCTATTTTAAAAACATTTTACTTATATATTTTATTTATTTACAGCCCAGTAAATAGTTTTTGTATAAATTTATACCAAACGGGCTCATTGGCTCAAAATTAGCTCAAATTTATGCAAAAATTAATCAAAATTTAAGCCAATCTAGAGCCAATTATATATGGATGAGCCCATTTGGTACAAATTTATACAAAAACTATTTACTGGGCAGTATTTGTATTTATGACTTAGAATTAACAAGATTTTCTTTATGAATAAATAATTTTTTATTTTATTTTCATGTTAAAGTGTTAAAGTAGAGTGATTGTGTAAATACTTACAAATTATTAAAAAGAAAAATAAAAAATTCTTAAAATCTAATTCAGCAAAAGATTTAGTATAGAAGATTTAATTTAAATAATAAAAAAAACCATTATGTTTAACCAAATTTTCAATTAAAAAAACAATTTATAATACCAAAAAAGATCTAATAATATTATTTAATTATTTTAATAAATAAAAAAAAAAGATTTATTAGCGTTCTAATTAAAAAATTTTAACAAAATTTATGAATAACAAAAAATCTGGTTGATTAATCAACCCTTTTTAAGCTTAATAAAAGTTGTTCATTTCACAAAATTATACCTAAAAATTAAATATTTACTGGTTAAAAAAAAATCTCCCATTAAAGTATTATTGGAATAAAGAAATTTCTTTTTTATTATAAAAATTTGTTTTTTTGCGATTTACACAAAAACTACCTAACTAATTAGCTTTTTTAACTTAAGAGATCTTCTTCCTCTCATAAAATTACATATATTTTTATTATTTAAATTGTATTAAGCACCTACTTTTAAGTTCAATCTGGAAGAAAATTACATTTTTGAGACGAACTTTCTTGTATATGCAAAAAGAAAAAAAAAAATATTGAAATGATGATGACGAATTTCTCATTTTAGCCATGGGGTGATTCAATAATGATCGGTACACAAAATTATTTTAATTAATGATCGACAAGTGTTGATGTAAAATTGCATAATTACTATTGTATCTAGATTATCAGAATTGCACAAATATAATGTAATGATTAACTTTTTAAGAAGTTATTTTACATTTAAGTGATATCAATCAAGTATAAAAAGTATCATTTATAAAGTGATGTTTTAAATATATATATATATATATATATATACATATATATATATTCTGTGTACATCTCGGCTAATATATGCTTTTCTTTGTTAAGTTTGAGATTCTTCTGATTTTTGGAGCTTTTATTAGAAGTTTTCACGATCCTATTTATAGTTTAAAGTTCTTTATAATAATGTAATATAATTAATTATACTTTATAATACGTATTTTTAAAGGTTAAAAAGAAAAAAATAAATTAATAAAAATTTAATTTGGAATTGAAAGAAATAGCATTTTAAGATAATTTCTTCCCTCGGAATTCAAATTTCTCGTAATGATAGCTTTTTTTGGAAGATCATTTTGGTTGAACCGAGATCTACGCCATTTTGCATAACTGCGGTCAATCGGAAATAATATGAATTGACCTAAAAATTAATAAAGTTTTAAGACTAATAATGAAAATATATAATCATTATACTGTATAAAGATTGAGAAAGTAAAGGAAAATAAAGAATGGACAAAAAGAATAAAATAAAACAGGTCTCTGCTTTTGTTTCAGGCATTCAGCTGATAATAATTTGCGTAAAAAAAATAACGATAAAAAAATATATATAGTTATCAATAGAAGAAAAATGGGATTTACACAAAGAAATGCAATTAATTGTGAAATTACTAATTATGAATAGGCTAATATTGTTAATATGTAACAATTTAATTGTAATTTTTTTATTTACAAAATGAATCTCTTTTGAGAAATAAATGATGATGATGCTTTTATTCGACTATTTTTGGAGTAATTATAACACTAATTAAAGATTAGTTCGGATGAAAGGACCATCGTCCGCTGACAAATTTTAAATATCACGTGATAGAACCCGTTACAGTAACAGCAACAAATTTTCTACCCACGTGACCTAAAATATTCATCACATATTTATCTGAGGGACTTGGGTTTTTTTTTTGCCTCACAAAATTATTTTTTTCACATACTTTAAATGTCACCGGTCACGTGGGAGTAGAAATTTTTAATTATAAAATTGTTACGGCAACAGATATAATACCCAAATCCCACCAAGGTGACGTCGGCTACGTACCGGTTTGGTTTTCAGATTTTAGAATTGCAGACTCAATTGCTTTTCGGGTTTTTTTTATAAAATCTTTGTAATTTGTACTGTTACCACGTTCACTTTGTGAAATAAAAATAAAAATATAATACCCAATCAAATCTTTTTTTTCCGAATTAATAATTATTAATGATACTCATTATAAAATTTATAATTAATTAAATAAAAATATTTGTACTTAAAATTTAGATTTTGTTTGTTTGTTAGACTTATAAGTACAATCTTCGTGATACAAAATTAAACATTTTTATTGGTCAAAATTAATAATTGAATATTATTGGTTAAAAATCTTACATGAGGTTGCCTCCTTATGAAACTAATATAGATAATATATGTCACTGCCCTTTATCATTTCTACTTTTATAAATTAGCCAAAGAATACATAATATATTATTAAGGATATTAATAAATTTTATGTAATCAAAAAAATGAAAAGTAAAGCTCTTAAATTAGTATGTTGTAGTGATTCTAAGAAAAGAAATGTGTAACATTTAACCGTAATTGATACGCACGCCCAAACACGCCCAATATTATAAATTTAAAAAATTCTTATACGCGCAAAGCGCATATCATTTGCGCAACCTACTAATTTCATATTCACTTTATATATTAATTAAATTAATGATAAGTGCTACTAAGAAAAATGCCGCCTAATTTTTTCAACGAAATACGCGGGGAATAAAAGTAATGTACGCTGCACCTACTTACATTAATGCACACGCCACAAAAAATGCGCCTCCCTAATATCCAAGTTGGGAAATTAAGTTTATAATTCTTTAGGATCTGACCCGAGATGATTCCGTTATATTTCTATAAAAACTCAGTGAACTCATATACTCACATGAAATGTATACTGATTCTTATTCCAATTAATCCTTTTTACACAAATACAACACTTATTTAAAAGGTGGTTTCTTTCTTTGGGTAATTCTTTAACTTCCGGTTTAAAAATACTATCGAACGCCCTTTGTCAAACCATATTAACTAATTAAAGTACAATTTTGAAAAATTCTTTCATCAATTTCATGATTGATTATAAAAAAAATCCATTAGCATGTGAAAAAAAAAATGAATAGTACTAGTTTTTTAGTTTATTTTTAGTAAATAGGTGTAATTGGTACCTGGAAATTGAGAAAAAATAATGAATACTTTATAGTATCTAATCGTATATAATAAATCAAAAGAATCTTTTTCATTATATTTTTAAAGTTATACAACATACTACTGTATATCCTGATTTTATAAATAATTTTCTTATAATACCTTTTTCTTTATTATATTATCTGTTATGTATTCTGGAATGTTCTTTGTGCAGAAATATTTCCGTGTTCGTGCGACCATATATTCAAAATATAGTTATTCATTTGCTATTCATTGAGGAAATAGGTTAAGATTTAGTTAATATATTCTAAAAGATTCAAATGTTATAAATAACTGCTTTGCTCTTTATTTCAAAGTAATAGTATAGAATTTCTATATATCGAAAAAAAAAAAATTAAAGATGAACCAACTATCAGTCACTTATTCTATTAATGACCGGACCGATAACTCATCGTCATATCGTATTCGTAAACGCCGAATTCAACGAAAACTAAGAAGCAATATATTTGGATTAAATCTTAATATTAGACAAATTAGAACATTACCAACACAAAACATAAATAACACTAATTCATTCGCAAACCATTTCTTTAATGGAATTAGTAGTTTTCCTTAAAGTTATTCACTTATTAAATAATTATACTTAGTTCCTACCGTTTATTCGAAATCTCGTAGCTTAGTAATTACATTTCGAGATCGATATCGTTCCTTCGCATTTGAAATCTTATTCAAATTTCGTAAATCCATGTCCTATAAAAAACACTCATAGTTAATTCAAACGGCAAACGTACAACCATCCGAATACAAATTTACCTATTACTTACCCTTCCACATTTCAAAAAAAAAAAATATTTTTAAGATCTTTTATTTCAAGATTAAACCTAACAAACATAAATTATTATGTTTTTTTTTTAATTATAAGTCTTATATATCAATTAATAATTGTTTTTGAAATAGAGGAAAAAAGTAAGAAATCAAAGAAAATTTTTTGCAAATTAAATTTTTCAGTGAGGTTGATTAAAATTATTTACTGTTAAATCAAATAATCTGAATTAATAAAAATACCGTATATCACGGGCAATAGTACCTGGTGTCGGTTGACGCTGTGTACGAAATTTTTTATTTATAAATGAAGGGTTTTAAAAACTTGTAGTATATTAAAAAAATATTTAAATGTGTCGCCTGGGTAAAATTAGATTGTTTAAATAGTATAATCAAAAGCAATGGAAGAAAAAAAGTGGGGGATACTATTATTTTTCAATTGAATTTATACAATTTACGATTGAATTTAATAGAATACTTTTAAGGAAATATTCATGTGATGAAAATCGTTGTGTTACATATAGGAGGGGTTAAATCCCCCTATTATTATTGTTGTCGATAAAAAAGGGAAAATTTGATTTTTTTTTATTATGAATGATGAAAACAGTTCACACAATGAAAAATGAAATGGACCTGGACGACTTTATTTGAAAAGTATTTATTATTATTAGTGCAAAATTTTTTTGGTATCATATATTTTACATTAATATTTTATTCTAATATATAATATATAAAAATGAAGTTTTAAATGAAGTTTTAAATACAAAAATATTTACAAATTTCCAGTTTTAATAAATTTTTTATTATTTAAATAAATTTATTTATTACATTAAAAATGTGTAATCATAAAATCTCATATTGTTTAGACTCAAACTCATGGAAAAAACTTTGAAATCAACAAGTTTTTTCAAGTAAATTTTACAATATCAGATATATAATTAATTTTACTTAAATCAAAAATAAGTATAACATTTTCATAGTATTTATAATTTATAAAGTTTACTTATAGAATAATTGCTTTATGCGATACAGGTGACAATGGTGAATATGTGACAAGTCAATCAACACCTGACGCCTGAGCCCTGAGGCACAGCATGTTAAAAGGAATGAAACATAGGAATGATTTATGAGGTCGAGGTTCGTCATATCTAGAAAAGCTAAAAAGGCTTGAATTATTTTATTTAAATGATAAATATCACGAGATAAATAAGCTAAAATTGCATTTATTAATACAAAAGATTATAAAAAATTAAACAATTTAAGCAACGCACGATTTAAAAATTCAATGAATTCAAAGAAAAATATTAGAATATTAAATGGAATGTGTTTTTTTTCGCGCCCGCGATATGCCTTTTTTGGTCGATCATTTTGATCACATGACTTCGTTTAGATTTCCTATTTTTAAAAAATCCTGGCGTGAGACCTTATGCACTTACTATGTACTATAAGAAACCTTACACTATGCATATTTAGCCTTTCACGGATCCATTCACGGAAAATGTAAATAATCCGTTAAATTCCGTGATATAAAGTTATTAATTCCGGAAATATGAGCCTTTTACGGAAAAAAAAGATGGAATAAAAAAACGGATTGACTTTTTTTACAGGGAACGCAGGTGCGATAAAAAACAAAACCCATATTAAATTACATAACAGATAAGTAAAAATTCAACAATATCACGATTAAAAAATTAAGAATTGATCATTAATTTAATAATACAAACGAATAAAAAATACACAATTAAATAATATAATTTACGATTTCATTCAAGTTCATCAAATAATTGATAAATATATTTTAATAATACGATAATACAAGCTGTTTTTACAATACATTAAATAATCACAAATTCACCATAATTGAATTTTAATCATCATCGCCTAATAACCTATTTATCGTAAAAAATAATGACGATGAAAATGGGTATTCTTGCAAACAACAAATACGTAAATCACTACCCCCATGTAAATTATTACATAAATTCAAAAATAATCAAGATAATCCAAACAACCTTTACACAGTAGCATCTTTATTGGCTACTACTCATCTAGTACTTTTAGTAATAAGAAAACAAAGAAATATATAACACGTAAAAATATAGAAAACACGGAACGTGACATTTATATTTTATTTAATTTTATTACATAATAAAATTTTAGCATTTATTACATAATATTTTAGGGTGAATATAACATAAGATTTATATATTATGTGGGATGGGGGTTAAGACTTATAACAAATGGATGTTACGTAATAAATGTCGCCGCACTTACAATAAGTTGCTTAATTTCGTATAATCGACCAATTTCGTAGTTTATTTTATATATTGTCCCCGAGTCAGATTTCAAATTTGGGAAAGTTAGTTAATCTGGTTTATTATTACCCGATTGCGGCCACTTTCTTTGGCCTTTCGACAAGCCTCTTCAGCATGATTCAATAAGTCAGTAGAAGTTTCTACCGATGAGTTTATTTCGAAAACACCAATGCTAAGCGTAATAGAAAATTTTTCCTCATTGAAAGTAATTGAGTGTTTTTCAACAGAATGTCAAATTTTTTCAGCAATTTCAGAGGCCGATTTTGCATCAGTAGTATTATTAAGAAGAATAGTAAATTCATCTCCACCATATCGTGCAAAAATATCCTTAGGACCAATATGTTCATTTTTAATTAACTCGGACAATTCTTTTAAAATGTGGACTCCAGATTCATGGCTATGTTGTTTATTGATTTCTCCGAATTTATCCACATCAAAAAACAAAAAACTCAAACTTTGTTTATTTTCTCTAGCATTTTCGAATTCATTTTCCAAGCTTTTCCGCAAATAATCCGTGTTGTAAACGGGTAAAAGTTTATCCATACGGTTCTCATATTTTCCAGCGGGAAGGTATTGGAAAACTGCTCTTCCTAATTTAATTAAATCGTCTTTTTCTAAAGTTTGAGAAGCTCGAAATTCGAGTTTTTTATCATTTACATAAATCCCAGATTTAGATCCCAAATCGAAAATTTCGACTTTTCCTTGAAAACTTTTAATTTTTGCATGCTGTTTACCAAGTTCTTGATCTTTTATAATAATATGATTTGATTCAGTTCTTCCAACAAATGTTTCATTTTGGGTAAGGAAGAGATATGGGGTTTCTTCATATAAACCTTTATTAATAAATAAACAAGCTTCTTTCTTTGACGGAGCATTATTTCTCTTAAGGTAAACATTTGGAATATAATCAGAATCTTGATATAAATGGTTAATATCAATGTCTCCAAGGCTTCGAGCGATCTCTTCAATTGATGGTCGTTTTTTAGGATCGTTGCTCCATGCACTTTCATAAAGCTCTATGTAATCTATTGGAGTTGAATTGACTGGAATTTCCTTATTTTTCTCATGAGGGATTTTGCCACTAGATATTTGCCATAGTATCAATCCAAGGCTGTAAATATCTGAAGATTTGTCGTATTTATAATCAGCGTTAGAACACATCGGATCCACGTAAATATTATCCCCAGGATCAGATATTTCTTTAAGATCGTCAAGTTCGGAAAGATGATCAAGAGACACGGATTGATTAAATCCTATAATCACAAATGTGCCATCATGATCTAATATGTATTTTGGACACTATTCATGACATTTATGTATAAATTTTAGTAAATAATGCAATAAAAATTAAGAATATGAATTGTTTAGCAGGGTCTAAACTAGTTTGGCTGTTAATAATAAATCGATTATTTTTTGCCAATTTTAATACTCACCAAAACACGGTGTACAATATTTGCTTTATGGATATATTCTACTAAGCCATTGGAAATATCTGCAGCTATTTTTATTTTAAGAGTCCAATCCATTTTTTCAATATTATTTTTATTTTCTAAATAATCCTTAAGATTTTCACCATAGCATTGCTGCTGAAACACCATAGAGTAATACTTCTTAGAAGGTTCTGAAATAATGATGTGATAAAGTGAATTATAGATCGGATTAAATGCGAGAATTTAGATGTTTAAAATAGAAATCATATATGTAACCTTTTGTAACGCCATAAAATCTCATTACGTTTTTATTTTGGTCAACGTCTTTTAAATTCATTACATACCTATTTGTTTTCATTTAAAAATTAGGTGGAAAATTGAAATATAGAACTTATGTACATTAACAATCGATGATTTAGGGCTCGTTATAATGTTAATCACTTCTCTGTGAAGCTTTTTATAATATTTATCTTCGTCACTCTAATCTAGTATATATTTGATAATGACTCTGCCTTGAGATTCTATATAGGCTTTTTTGATCTCATGTGGCCCTACGTTTGGAATCGCTTCTACGCATTCAAAATTGTCGTATTTGAACTCCTTTAAAGCACGATTACTGATAAAGATTTGTAATAATATCCATATTGTTTAGAGGAGGATCACACCGGGTCTGTGGATCTTGTTGATCAATAGTTAGAAAATGTGATGGTGGTGACCTAGTGGGATTTTCACGAATTATTACACGAGTGTCGAGGGTTAGAGTTCTTTAAAGGAACGTTATAGTAGATGCGCAAACTTGATTATCGAAGTAATTTCTTTATTGAATTCTTATTGAACTGGTTAGTGAAGAGGATAAAGACCTTTCTTTTAGATACAATTTAAATTAGGAAAAGGCCCAAAAATTTTATAGATCTATATACAGAATTTTTATACTTTTTCTTTTAACGTACTGTACATGACAGACCAAAATCACTTTATACGGAATAATGGAGATAAGCTGAATTTAGTGGCGGCTTATTTTAGAATGAGCATCAGAATGAACATCAGAATGAACATCAGAATGGCATCAGAATATGGACATCAGAATGGAGAATGAGCATAGAACGGGCATCAGAATGAGCATCAGATCTATTGTTCTAATCAATAATCAATAATTAGAATACAATAAAAAAATAATATTCTATTAAGTTGTCAATAAAATATTATATTTGTATTCAATAGAATTAATGGAATAAGATCTATTGTTCCATTCATGAAACTTTAAAACCGGTTTTTATAAATGCTTTTAGATTATCTAAATTATCGTTTATACATGTTTTTATTTTGGTATTACATTTTTCTGTGAAACACTTCATATATTGATTTGTGAGTTAATATCATGTCTTAAACTCAATTTCATTGATTTCGTTAAACGACCTATATATAGGTTAGTTGTGAAAACAAATATGCATGTACCATGAGGTAATTTCATTGTCGCATTTAGTTTTCGTAATGATCAAGCGGTCACACAAATAATTTATGCATGTTAAATTTCAATGATTTTCTGTGATACATATTATCTAGTTTACACTAGGCGACAAATAAAGCCTATCACTGAAGGCTTGTTCAAAAATTCTTACATAACCCTATAAAAAAAACTCCGATAAATGATCATTTTCTAATTTGTATTCCAAGATAACCTCGACATGTGATCAATTTCTAAAAAAATTTTTATAGGGTAATAATAAAAATTATGTGAAAATTTAGTAAATTTATTATAAAAATAAATGTCCATCTTTTTAAATTAATTTCTTTAAAGAATAAATATTATAATTTTAATTGATTTATTGCCGTTTTCAAAATGATGTACGCAGTTAAATTTGAATAAAAGAAAAGAAACCCGAAAACCGGACGAAAATCGGACGAAATATGGACAAAAAAAGGATGAAAACCGGGCGAATATTGGTATTCGAATATACAATCAATTCATTTATGAAATAAGAATTGTCAATATTTTCTGAAGATAATCGTTTAACTTTGATATATAACGATGCAATCTATCTGTTCAGGTATAGATAAAGTAGAACTTTCAGCAGTATGCATAACGATAAAATAGTTGTTATTAACAGTATGATTGTCATTCTATTGTTCTAATCAATAATTAGAAAATAATAATAAAATAAAAATTCTATTAAGTTGGCAATAAAATATTCTATCGGTATCCAATAGAATCAATGGAATAAGATCTATTGCTCCATTCGTAAAACTTTAAACCGGTTTTTTTGGCCGGAAGCTCCATAAAATTCTTCTTCCTTAGAACTAACTATTATGGAAGTTTTAGAACTAAGTTTAAATTCTTGTGATGACGAGACAAAAGAACAAAAAGCAAGAATAATGCAGGTAATTAAGAACAAAGAAGTTGTCATTATCGTTTATCTGAAGAGAAGGATCTCGTAAGAAGTGGAAAAAGAGAAGATTGTTTGCTTTTATATGAAATTATTATAAGTAGAGGCTTTGTTACCAAGCCTTAATGATAAACAGCTCCACTTAGGGGCTTAATATTTAGAAAATGTTGACTGTTTTTTTTTTTTTGATGATAAAATTTAAATTTTTAAATGACGTGTCCAATAATTCATAGACTACACTCGTTGTATTTAAATAAAATTAACTTTTGACCTCAATCTTGGAAGCAGAACTTACGACAAAGAAATAGATTTTCGCGCGTTTCTATGAATTTAACAAATTCATCAGGATCGATAATAGGTCCTTGATGCTTATGATGGCAATACGTTGAACTTCGTCATTTAGGAAATCACGAAAAATATCAAATTCTATGCATTAAAAATTTTTTGAATAAAACTGATAAATTAAATATTTGGTTTCAAGCGAATTGTGTTCTTCAATTCAGCTTTCAATTCATGTATTTATTAGTCACTAGATCCTCAACTGATTTTGCTTCTCGGCTATATGTTTTCATAATTTTTCAATATGTTATAACATTTTGTTCAGCTCATTGAGCCTTGTCTTAGGCAAGTATAGCAACAAGCAAATAATAATACTGCGCTTTTCTATATCCTTTACATTCTCTTGCATGTTATTGAGCTCAAGTTACTATATTTCCCCTAAGTAAGAAAAATAAAACGAGCTATAAATTATTTGTTTCAGAACAACTATGGTTCGATTTCATTCAACAATCTTTAATTATTCATTATTTAATGAATGCGTTAGTTAGCTTTATAGGAGTTGTTTTATTCTGCGCAAGATTTATTTTATATTGTTGCTTTTTAACCTCCTTTAAAAATAAATACTTGATTTATTGATTTATTGATTAAAGTTCGCCATACTGCTCCAAATAAATACAATGAAAGTTATCATAATATCTCCCCTCTGTTAACATTATTAAATGAAATACAATTTTCTATTTGAATAACAACATCAGATACGTGATATTTTTATATTACGCCCAAGTTTTCTCAATAAAAATTTCAGCCGATTCAGCCAAAAATACTTATGTAGGAAACTCAGATTTCGATGGGTTGCACGAATTACGATAATAAAATATAAATAGATTAAAAGATATTGTCACCTAAAATTAGAAAAACTTCTTTACTGCTTGCGCCATTTAATTTTTACTTCCTTAGTCTAATAGTATATCGATCTAAGCATATCTGATATTTGAACAAAATGTTTTTTTACTGATCAATAATTTATTTATTGTAAAATTATAGAACATTTAATAATGTTCTCATGTTATAATTATGCAGTGACGTTCAAGACAGTAATATATCTAACCTCAAGTGAAAGTAAGGTACATTATCTGTTCATAATCTTACATAAAACGTTATCATTATTTGTATTATAGTATTACATTGTATAAATAAATATAAAGATTGCAAGTGAATTATAGTGTATAGCCAATAAATGGTCAACCCTATAAAAAAAGAATGTCCGGAAATTGTAGCTGAAAACGTCCGGAAATGTTTATTTGTCTGGAATATGTCCGGAATATTGCAATATTCCGGACGTTGGAAAATTTCCATTTTCCGGAAAATGTCCAGAAAATGTCTAGGAGGGTTCAGACCCAGCGTCCAGAAAGTGTCCGGAATATTGCAATTTTCTGGACGTTTTCCGGACACACGGACATTTTCCGGATGTTTTTAGCTACAATTTCCGGACATTTTTTTTTTACAGGGCAAACGTACTAGATAAGATAGTCTCATTAAACCATTTGATGTGCCAAAAGAAAATTTAGGTTTAAAGTAGATTTATTTCTAAAAGCCATACTACATAATATAAATCGTAATAACAAAAAAAAAATAAAAATAAAAAGGAAAAAGGAAAAAAAATTTAAATTTTCTATAACCAAAAGAATTTAAGTTTCGCGCATTTTTAGCTAAAATTATTTACAATTTTTGTCCAAAACTGCGACATCGGTATGCTTTTCATACAGATTATATTCGCTTTTCTCGACATGGAGATAATTTTTATCCACGAAATATTAAATGATTAGGAGGATTCAAATAGAAAGGATGTGAATGTGAAAGTTTTTTTACTGATGTCTGTGTAATAAAAGTGTGTGAGTGTCAGAATAGAGGCAAAAGTATATAAGAAAAAAGAGTTGTAAAGATTTTTCACTGTCTGGATGTTCATTTATTAACAATATCTACAAATTAAAAAAAATGAATGAACGTCAATATAAAGAATAATGAAAAAAAGCAAAAAACACGTTATATAGAAAATGAGAAAATAAGAAAGGTATATATAAATTTCTTACCAGGAAGTTCACGGCAATCTTGATCAACTTCTGAAAAGGATGAATGTTAATATAGAGCACGAATAAATAAGATGATGGCTTCAAAATTTACCTGCGGATGGCTCTTGCGATTTAGGAGTTGGATTATACATTCCTGCACGATATCTCCTGTCTTCTTTGCTTTTTTCATCATCAGCTTCCTCAAATTGTTTCGCTTCCTCATCACTGCGGCTCTCCTCAGTAGGGAACCAACCTAGCACGGACTGCCATTTCATTATTTTCTCTTTAATGTCTAGAGCAGTTGGACGATTTTGTGGATCACTATCCCAACAATTTCTTATCAAAGTTGCATAGCATTCGGGTATTTCTTTGGGAATTTCAGGTCTTAGGCCATTATTCTTGATCCGACATACAAGTTCATTATCATAGGAGAGATCTGCATAAGGTTTTTCCCCAGTTCCCACTTCCCATAAGATCATTGCAAAGCTATAAATATCAGATGCCTCAGTGTATGGTTTTTTATTTAATACTTCAGGAGCGATGTAAGGTATGACACCAATAATTTTTTCCGTTTTTTCTTCACTGGCTTGTTTAGATAACCCCAAGTCGGTGATACGTGAGGGATACAGAAGATCTTTGAACTGCAAAATGTTTCCAGTATGGAGATCACGATGTGTCATACCAGTTACATGAATTATTTCCAAGCCCGCGACTATGTTTCGAAGAATATCAAGTTTTCGACGCCAATATAATTTGGCTTTGTTATTTTGAAGGTATTCTCGTAAATCACCATTTTCCGCGTATTCCATTACTATTGCATAATTTTTCGTATCCGGATTTTGAGTGATGCCAAGATAGCTAATAAGATGACGACTAGCACATTGAAAATATGCTTCAAGCTGCAAATTGTTTAATAAGTTAATTAAAAATGTGTGGCATACTAATACAATTAATGACATTATTAACGTGAAATACATATAATGATAATACCTCAGCGATAAAATCATCACTAATATTGTCCGAATTGTTCATAGTTTTTAAAACAACTTTCATTTTTCCTTGTCTATGCCATTGATTCATTTTATGATTCCATCGTACAACATAACCATTTATCCAAGTTGCCAGAGATATTGTTCCATAACCACCTTTAGCAAAATCTTTTTCGTTTATTTCAAGATCTTCATAGGGAATCCATTCAAGAAAAAGAATAGTGTTGATAAGGGATGGTCTAACATATTTAACTAGTTCGTCAATTTTTTTGTTTCCACTTGACCGATTTTCATATTTTTTTTGATTTTGATATTGCTCTTTAATACATGGTTGACAAGGGAGCTTATCTATTTTACACTGATCACATTCTGAACAGTTGTGAGACATTGGCCTAAAGTAAAAAATCAAGATATGTAAAACAAGAACTTCCTTTGACTCCTTTCTTTCTTGTCGTTGTGAAAAATTTTGTAATATGTATATTTTTAAAAGTATATGAGACAAGAGGAAAAACAAAGAATTTATTTTCACAAGTTATCCAATTTATAAGATTCATTAACATTCAAGATAACACAATTTATTAATATTATTTAAAATATATTTTTTCATTTGGAAGAAATTATTGAATATGTTACAAATAGAATAGGAACAATGAAATTCTTTTCTTTCAAATTTTCAAATTTGGAAATTTTTATGGTTTGCCCAGAAGGCCAGAACAGATTTTCCATTTCAAATCATAACAAGGTGTGACTTGTGAGCCGTGAACGCCAAGGATTTCTATAAATGACTAAAATAATCACCTTATCCTAAAAAAAAAATTGTTTATTTATACAATAAAACTTGTTTTGTCTTAATTTTTTTGTTTAAACACACGGGCTGTGCATTGTGCAGTGATGTACATTGGAAGCTTCTAATGGAATTGGAAGGTTCGGAAGCTTCCAATGAGCATGTGTAACAAGTTTATTTTTTATAATGTATGTCGAAATATCATTGATTATCATTTGAATGAAATCAAATAAGTTATAAATGAACTTGTCAGAATTTTTTCTTCTAATTCAATTATATTTTAAATTATTTTTTCAATTATTTTTTAAAAAAAAATAAATTTCACAAATAAAATCATGAAAGAAACATTTTCAAGTTTTAACGTTGATGTATTAGAAAGTGTTAAAGATCATGGAATAAAAGTTATACAAACAACTGCAGATATTATTCAAAATTTAATTCCACATTTTGATATAGCAATTAATATAGCATCATGTATATTAGAGATTTATGAAAAAGCGAAAACGAATAAAAAAATTTGTAGAGTATTCGCTGATAGAGTGGAATTAGCTTTAACATCAATAAATTATTTAAAAAGGCATATGGATAAAAATGTTGAAAAATTTCGAGAAAAAAGTTATTTTAAAAATTTTATGCATTTTATTGAAGTATTAGACAAGATTAAAAATTTTGTTGAAGAAATTTCTGAAATTAAAGGTTTTAAAAAATATCTCGTCGCTAATGTAATTAATCAACAACTTAATGAAATTAGGGATGATTTTGATCATTGGTATAAATCATTACAACTTGTTATTACTATTGGTGATGTCATCAGTCGTGAAATTGAAAATGAAGAGATAAAAAGTGATTTAAGTCAATTAAAAGGTCTTTATGAAGATATTAAACAAAATTTTAATATAACTGATCAAAAATTATCTATTATTACTGCAAAAATTGAAATGTTAGAGAAAAATTCTTCAATTTTGGATAAATCCAAACCACCTGAAATTGGTCCGGAACATCTTACTGTACCAGAAGAACCCATCATAGAACGTAATAGTGTTATATTAAGAAAATATAAAAATTTTGATGTCGCTTGTAAGCCAACTAAATATTCACTTAACGATACTAGTCCGGATTCAAAAAAAGCTGGTGCAACTCTAACAATTTGGAATGAATTAAATGAATGTCCTTATATAATTAAATTTTTTGGAATTTCAAATTTGGATATATACACTGAAAATGTTATGGTTTTAGAATGGGCTGAATTTGGTGATTTAAAAAGTCTTTATGAGAGTAAGAATCTTAATTGGAAACTTAAATTAAGTATGGCGAGAGATATTTTTCGTGGTCTTTGTTTCTTGAATTATATTCGTAAGTTCTGTTTATTTAGTATTAGTTATTTTTTATTAATATTTACGTCGTAAACTAAATTTATATCAACCACAGGTGTTTTACATCATGATGTTAGATGTGAAAATATTTTGGTAAGTTCTTTGATTCATCAGTTATTAATTAAATATTGACTATATGCTGATTTTATTAATCTGTATAATTTAAAGGTAGCTGAAGGATTTAAATGTAAAATAACCAATTTTACTTTAAGCCGTAAAACAAAATATGTAACTACCAAAGTACATGATGATGAGAGTTCGAAACAAATGATGCGTTGGATGGCTCCTGAGAAACTTAAATCTTATCAAAAATCAAATCAAAATACGAAAATAGAACCATATACTTATGCGTGTGAAATGTTTAGGTATGTAATCAGGTTGGCTAAAGATAAATTATATAAATAAGAAACAACTTTTTAAATTCTTTTTTTCTTTTATAGTTTTGGAATGCTTCTTTGGGAGCTTTCTTTTAATAGAGTACCATATAAAGACATGGAATATGATGAAATAATTGAACATGTTATGAGTGGAAAACGAGAAACATTAGACTTTGTAAATTGTCCACGTGATATAATTGATGGTTTCACCGAAATTATTACATTGGCATGGCAACATGAAAATCGCAAGCGTCCGTCAACCCAAAAGGTCTCAAAAATTCTTGAATCATTATATAAATCTTACGAAAATAATTTATTAAATTTAAATGAAGAAACAAATTATGAATCTCAAAAATGTTCTTCTACTATCTCTACCACTACCAGTAATAATACTATTGAATTTGTTAATGAGTATGTCCTTGATCTTTTACCATTATCAAAAGGTATTGAACATCATAATTTAAAAGCTAAGAAAACGAAATCAGAACAAGATTACAAAATTTGTTGGGAATGTTTCAATGCACACGCAAATCTTGGTAATAAAACGGCCATGTATTGGAAAGGACTTTATTTATGGAAGGGTTTTGTTGAAGAGAATCAAATTGAAGCAAAAAGATTATTTAAAATTGCAGCTGACTCTGGAATAGCTGAAGCTCAATTAGAATATGCTTTTGCTTATGATAGTGAGAATCTTGAAAATCCTGATTTACCTTTTAATGAAAAAGAATGTTGGAAATATTTAAAAATGGCCGCTGAAAATAGTAATCCTACAGCATTATACCACGTAGGTATTACTTATTATAATGGAAATGTGGGAGTGCAACAAGATAAAGAAAGAGGTATTGAATATCTTAAACTTTCCGCTTTACAAGTTAATCCTAAAGCAATTGAAACATTAAATAAATACGGAGTTAATCTTTAATAGATTCGTTATTGATTTAAATTTCTTTTATTAAACTATATTAAGTTAATGTGCGGTGACGAAGTCACCGCCGTATAACATTAATTCTGTTACTTTCATTGACTAAACATATAAGTTTAAATTTATAACTTAGATAGGCTAAAGATAATAAAAATGATACTTTATTGGTCATATGAAATTTATTGTTATTAATGCATTTAAGAAAGAAAATTTTTAAATACTAAATTCTTATTCGCAAATTTGATTATAAGCAAGTCTGTGATTAATATGAACAATCATAAACTACAATATAGTAGTTACAAAGTATTTTTTTTTTTATGATTGGTACAAAAATAATAAATTTTTTTAATGCCAATATAAACCCAATTTATTTCACATCATACTGTGTTTTCAGATTTTTCACGTGATGATCTAATAAAATTATTGTTACGACGCGTGAGAAATATTGATGGCCAATAAAATTAACAAATTTAATAACTATGTTTTCTGTGATTCAATTAATTATTTTAATCTGAGATGACTATACATAGTTATAACCATTTAAATATACATAATACTAATTAAAGCATAAATTATTTGAAATGTATAGTTTATTCAATAAAACTCAAACTAACACTTGTTTAGCTTTATATAATTAAATAAAAGTAATATGTTTGTTCGAAAGTATAACTTTTAAGACAACTTTTGCATAAAAAGAAATCGAAGGAAATCTGTAAAACTTCATAACTTGAAAACCAACTCTTACCCGGTAAATATCATACTTATAACCTTGCAAGTGTATAGTTTGTCATAAAAAGTTTATAAAATCATGGGAAATTTGCGAGAAATAAACTTAACAAGAAACTTTTATTAGAGGAAATCGGGGAAATCAAAATAGATTTAAATAACCAATTTTTTTTATAGTTCATTGTATTGCTATTACTTATCAAATACATAGTACTAATGCTCTTTATTGCAAAGCTATGATTTATCTGGAAACTTAAGTGCATAACTCCAGGGATAGGCTGAATTTGTGCCTAACAATGGGATTTCTATAATCCTACAAATGTTTCTGATCGTAACGGTTTTTTACATAGAAAGCTACGTCTATTGATTCTACACTAGATTTTATCTACACCCACGCACATAAAGTATTGAGTTCCGCAATAGAACTTCACCAAGATGAATCTTTAGCATAAATTCCGAAGATTAGCCCTCTAGTACCTGTTCTTCCGAGGAAGGTACTAAGTTGCATTAAATGATTTTTTTTAATTTTTTTAATTACTGCTTGTTACTTTATTTTTGTAGGTGGATTTTCTTGGATACACATTTCGAAGGTAAATAGTTTCAAATTTTATTTTTTTCTTTTATCTTTTTGCGAAATGTAATCGACGTTTCTTTATACTGTTTTTTTGTAGGTGAATGGCTTCTTGGGCAATATTTCGGAAGTATGAAAAAGTTAACTTTTTTTTATTCGTTTGTATATCTTAGCTTCGAGGGTATTTTTTTTATATTTTGTCTTGCGGACGAAAATTCGTAAGTTCGTTCGAAACTACTATTTCGTTTTTTTTTTAAAAAAAAAATAACCGTTTTATTAACGTTTCGTTACTTTTTTAGGTTCCGAAATTTTGAAGTCTACGAAAGCGACTTCTTTTTTAAAGGTTTATTTCATAATTTTATTTTTTACTAGTTAAATGAAGTCTGATACAAAACTCTTACTATTAATCGAAGCCTTGAATATTTTGTAGGTAAAGCATTTAATAATGTTGTTATTTGATTTTCTGTTCTATACTTTTTTTTATATTCCAGGTTTCAAGTCTCGGATAAAATTTCGGAAGTTTCGAAATGGGGGATTTTTTTTTTGACTTTATTTAACTAAACGTTAATAATGTTTCTCGTTTTTAGGTTTCTCTCTTGGATTTGAACGCCCGATTTTGTTCAAAAAGTGTTGAAAAATAATACTTTTCATATGAAGTAATTCCAAGCATTTCTTTTATTGTATTATCGACATTTTGTTACTGACTTACCAGTCGTAAAATTTAAAGAGAGCTGGAAACAGAACCACGATAATATTTTATATCAAAATATTTTTTTTTTTTGGGCAAATCACATATATCCTATGTAATAGTTTATTTTCTTTACTCCAATACAAACGCCAATATGCATCATATAAAACAAACTGTCTACAACTCGAAGAGTATTACGCCAATAGGCTAAAGGTATTATTAGAAAACAACGTAATTTAAAATTATTATAGGACCTTATTTATTGGCTCTGGAGGATCCGCTTCTGTTTTTATCGCAAATTGGAAGAATACGAAGAATACGCCAACAAAATATGTAATTAAAAGATATGTCGATAAAAAGAGGTGCGTCTCCGTCTCTCCGATTACATTTTTTATCTTAATTATTATTTATAAAATATTTTCTTTCCAGGTTTATTTAACGAAATATGGCTAATTTTCATGAAAATATCTTTAAGCATTTGACATGTTTAATATTCTTTAGATGATGAGAATTATTCGCTTGTTTTAAAGGACGATACCATAACTTTGAAATGTGAAAACTAATTAAAATTCGTTAGAGATTGCAAGTGCGATTTTATGGTTACATGACGTAAAGGAATCATATACGTGAATCTTGTATTTTGTATTTTGTATTTACTATATTGCGTAATTAACATTCTTTTTTTTAGCTACCCTAGTGTTTCGGTTTTCGCCTAAATGATTTACAAAAAAAAGTTTCGGAAAATTTCGGATAGTTTCGGCCGAAACTTGGGCGAAACGTTTCGAATTTTGAAAAATGGAAATAATTGAAATAATTGCAACAATAAACTAATATCACAAGATTAATTACAATATTTTCGGATAAAATAATCGAATCATTCTGCAAAATAAATAAACGAGAAGAATTTATAATGCAACTAATAACTAAGTTTTTCAGGTATACAAAGATATCGGATAAAATCAAATAAAATCTTAAGAAAGGAAGCAACATTATAATTTATTAGCGGATTAACTAATAATAGAAATAAACAATAAAATATGTATATAATATATATATACAAACTACATACCTGATACTATATTTAATATAAATTGACCTTGTTTGATTTGATTTATATGAATTAATTTGTTTCTTATTTTAGTCAAGAATTCAAGCATAAAGCTTACATATTACAAATTTCATATTTTTCATATATTTAAAAATTTGCTGAATAAAATTTAGAATCTTAATCCTTTCTCCTTATTTTTAAATTATGCTTCATATATTTTAGATACAGAGAGCAAAAAAAAAAACTGTATATTATTGGCTAAGTCGTGTGAATTAATCGCACCTTTTTTCTTTGTTTTACAATGCAAGATAAAAGTTTTTTCATTATTATGAGAAAATTTTTATGATGACAAAAACTTTTTCCTTATTAATTCAAAATTTTTTTTTTAAGTGCTTGTTTGTTGTACTACGTTTTTCCAGGAAAATCAAATTCAATATTGTTTGTACAAAAATAGGTAGATGTGGCATACTGTATATGAAACAACATGAAACAAATTTAATTAACATTACTTTGTTTTTAGATAATAATTAAATTATAAAGTATAAATAACCTTTTAAATAAATCTTTTTAACATAATTTCAACTAAAATAATTTATTTTGTAAAGTATAAATAATCTTTAAATAAATCTTTTTATATAATTTCAACTAAAATAATTTATTTTGTAAAGCATAAATAATCTTTAAATAAATCTTTTTCACATAATTTCGAAGTAGCTTATTTACAAAATATAAATAATCTTTAAATAAATCTTTTTTACATAATTTCCATTAAATTATGAAGAAACTTCCTATTTTAATTGTTATAATAACCTTAATAATTTTACTTCAATTTGTATATGAAGTAAATACTCAAGAAGGTGTTCCACCAGCGGAAGATCCTTCAGGAGATCCATCTCAATTTCCTGCACCAGCAATACCTCCACCAACAAAAATAAATACATTAGTCACAGCAATACCACCAATTTCAACTCAATTTCCTGCACCAGCAATACCTCCACCAACAAAAATAAATACATTAGTCACAGCAATACCACCAATTTCAACTGGAAAATTATTACCATCAGCAAGACCATCAGTATCACGAACATTACCAATAAATCCTTCAGAAGGTCTTATTTCGACTGGAAAATCACCATCAGCAGGACCATCAGGATCACGAACATCACCAGTAAATTCATCAAATCCTTCAGAAGATGTTAACTTTACAACTTTTATAATAGCTGCTTCAATTATTGGAGGGACAGTTAGTAATTTGATTTTAATTTTCATAGTTGGTTTATGCTACTTTTTATTGAGAATGTATAAAGATAAAAAAGAAAATTCTAAAGCAATTGCGACCCCTGGACTGAATAATAACGAAAATGAATTATATGATGAACCGATCCCTACAGAATTAATAATTTCGAATCATGGACAAGAATTTATACCAAATTCACCAAATTATAATAATAATCAACAAGGGATAACACGTGAATTAGGAAACAACTTAACAAACAATGAAATTATTCAAAATATCAGACAAGGAAATTTATCATCATTTAATATAGATGAAGATATTATAGATCAAATGAAACAAGATATTCTACAAGATATCAAACAAGAATTAAAACAAAATATAAAATCAAAAATAATGACATCATTTGTTAGAGATAATGATGTTGAAGATGATAGTAGTAGTAGCAGTAGTAAAAATCATACTTAATTGGGAATCCGTATAAGAACTGGTAAATTATTATAGTAAAAGTGGTGCAAATACTATGAATTTATTAATAAATTTAATAAATGGAATCCAAAGTGCATAGTAAATTTATGAAATGAAATTTTTAATATTATATTATTATAACAGTACTTCAATTAGAAGGAATTTTGGATTCTAAAACTGCAAAAATTATTATAATTAATAAAACTGTCCGGTTCTTATATAGATGACTAATAGAACATTAATTAAAGTTAATTGAAGAATTTTTTTCGCGGATGACAAACTAACGACTTATTTAATTCTGGCCGGAATTATAAATTTGGCCGAAATTAAAATTTACTGTACGTATTAGCATCAAATATATATGATTGTGAAATTTTTGCCAAACTGACAAAAACTTTCTTTTAAATGAAACATTTTCAAAATAGCGCTATAGATAATGAAAGTGAAGCCAATTCTTGAAAGTGAAGATAATTCCAAAAGAATAACACCAATAACAATTCAAATCCAGGGATAACGAATAATAAATTTACCGATTTTACTGACTCAGTGATTTCAAATAAAGTAACAAGGAATAAATTCATCAAATCATAATAACCAACAAGAAACAACACACGAGTTAAGAAATAATTCAATAGAAAATGAAATTAATTATTCAAAAAAAAAGTTATACCGAAAGAGTACAATAATTACTATATATTAATATGTAATGTTTAACACCTATGTAAAATATATATATATATTAATGAAGTCATTACCAACGATTATTTAATATAATTCACAAATGGAAATAAAAAAACTACGTAAAAATTTGATTACAACAATAAACTTATCATAGGACTAATTACAATAATTTTGGATAAAATAATCGATTATTCCGCAAAATAAATAAATGAGAAGGATTTATAATGCAACTGGTTTTTTAGGTATACAGGATATTAGATAAAAACAAATAAAATCTTAAAAGGCAAGTAACATTATATTTATTAGCGAATTAATAAATAATAGCAAAAATATGTATATACAGTAAATATATATATATATTAAAATCGCAAACTACCCACTATATTTAATATAAATTGTCCTTGTTTGGTTTAATTTTATATGAATTAATTTGTTTCTTATTTTATTAACCTCCCTCCTTATTTTTAAACATATATTAGCCAAAGCCAAAAAACGGGTTATTTGATCGTATATAATTGGCTAAGTCATGTGAATTAATCACACCTTTTTTTCTTCTGTTTTACAATGCAAGATAAAAGTTTTCTCATTGTTATGAAAAAATTTTATGACAAAAAACTTTTTCTTTATTAATTCAAAAATTTTTTTAAGTGCTTGTTTGTTTGTACTACTATGTTTTTTTTAGGAAAATCCAATTCAATATTGTTTGCACAAAAGTAGGTAGATGTAACATATATGAACAACATGAAACAAATTTAATTAGCATTACTTCTTTTTTTAGATAAATAATTAAATTATAAAGTATAAATAATCTTTAAATAAATCTTTTTTACATAGTTTCAAAGTAATTTATTTTATAAAGTATAAATAATCTTTTTTTTTTTACATAATTTCGAAGTAGCTTATTTTATAAAGTATAAATAATTTTAAAATAAATATTTTATATATAATTTCCATTAATTATGAAGCTTCTTATTTTAATTGTTATAACCCTTATCATTTTACTTCAATTTGTATATGAAGTAAATACTCAAGCACCTAAAGATGCTCCACTTCCTCCGCAACCACCGCCAGAAGATGCTTCATCAATAGGAGTTTTAGCTGAATCTCCTACACCAGCAATACCACCATTAACAAAAATAAATACTTTATCCACATTAACACCAATTTCGACTGGAAAATTATTACCATCATCAGGATCACGAACATCATCAGTAAATTCATCAAATCCTTCAGAAAGTGGTAACTCTATAGCTGCTTCAATTATTGGAGGGACAGTTAGTAATTTAATTTTAATTTTCATAGTTGGTTTATACTACTTTTTAGTGAGAATGTATAAAGATAAAAAAGAAAATTCTAAAGCAATTGCAACCCCTGGACTGAATAATAACGAAAATATTATTTCAAATCCTGGAATAACGAATAATGGATTATATAATAATGAACCAATCCCTACAGAATTAATAATTTCGAATTATGGACAAGAATTTGTATCAAATTCACCAAATTATAATAATAATCAACGAGGGATAACACGTGAATTAGGAAACAACTCAACAAATAATGAAATTATTCAAAATATCAGACAAGGAAAATTATCATCATTTAATATAGATGAAGTTATTATAGATCAAATTAAACAAGATATTCTACAAGATATTAAACAAGAATTAAAACAAAATATAAAATCAGAAGTAATGACATCATTTGTTAGAGATAATAATGTCGAAGATGATAGTAGTAGTAGCGCTATAGATTCTAATCATGGAAATAAAGCCAATTCTTGAATGTGAAGATAATTCTAGTTTAATGTATGAAATACAAGTGTTATAGTTACTTATACAAGAATTAAAGAAAAATCTGTAGACGTTTGTTAAACTTCAGCTATAATTTATACGATTTTTAATAAAATATCACACACAAATGACTTACTAAATAGACCTTTTACGTTTATTGATTTTATATTACAAATTTCGCTTATTGAAAAAAATTTTGGAACCTGAAAACATGATTTTTCTGTTTTTATATTCTTTATTTCACTTTTATTTCTTTTTGACATGATTAGAAAACGAACGTATTATGCTTCATATGTATTTACAGTATATACGGGAAGATTTATCTCAATTTTTTGATTGAATACATTAATTTTACAGTATGACAGAAAATAAAAGTTTAACAAAATTTTATATTTTCATATATATAATTATTTTTCATTTAATTGTACAATAGGAACTTTTTTATGCTTAAACTGATTATAAGCACGTAATACTTCCAATTTTTGTAAAGTTGTATTGACATATATATCAATATTTATTTAACAATAAATATATATTAATACTTCGATCCCTTGCTGATTACGCGTCATGCCCCCTGCAGATCGTATATAGATTTTTTAACAATACTATATAAATAAAAATACAATATTTAAATTTTTAACAATACTCTATAGTCTATAAATAAAATGTCATAATTGAATTAACAATACTATATTGTACTTTAATTGGAAAATAATATGATTTTATTATATTTTAGCACCATTTTTTAAGACACATGATAATTATAATTAGAAATAATGTGACTTTATTATATTATAACTAGCCAGTATTTTTTTTGTTCCAGTACCCACCAGAGAATACGGGACTGACGGGAGCAAATGTGGGAGTATTAATTAATAGCGTCATGGGATCAATGATCGGGGGTCGGAGCATATTATTTTTTTATAATTCAATTTTAATAATAAAATTAAAGTTCGTAAATGTGCGAAATGTTAGGAAGCTTATTTTTAATCGTGATTATCATAAATGGTATAAATTATTATTAGATTAATGAAGGAAAATAAATCTTTTCACTCGATGTATTGTTTTAAATTTTATTTACTTTTTATTAAAAAATTACATTAAACTAATAAAATCAATATGAAAAATTTTAACAAATGATTAATATTTTAATAGATTTAATAATTAAAATTAATGAAATAAAAAAATACAATTAAAAAAAAAATTAAATAATGTATTAATTGAAAATCAAAAATATACTAAACAGGTGTGTATAAGTTAAAATCAGAACATTCAAGAAAAAAGGTGAGCACCGGCATCTGATAGGTTAGCGTACCCATAATCAAAGCAGTAGTAGATCGCATGCTTTGATTTATAGAATTAGTCTTGTTAGTGAGATATCTGAGGTTCACATTATGACGAACCTCAACCCAAAATTCTCTCGGTTCTCAATTTCCTAAGTTTTCCTCTATATAGAAATCAATAATTGATTGATTATCAATATTTCTGACCGTCTTGGTGGTTATTCCCATAATCATGACATTTAACCCAATCGCAGGTATATCATCGAATTCCATATTATCAATCAACTTAACGGACATTGCATTAACCTTTGATATGTTTATGATTTATAAAATAAAAAAAAATTAACAAATTTTTGGTTGATTTCAAAAGGACACGCGCAAAACAATACATACACTATACCAACTGGCGCAAGCAAAGAACTTTCCTTTCAAGAAAATCACCTGGCCTTTATTAAAATCATAAGACCTTTACTCTCAAATATAAAATTTTTGTCGGATCATCATCATTCAATCTTGCAACAGCCATAATTTCATTTACCGTAAACTCCAGAGTAAGTCGTTCAGTGAATTCATGAATGTAACACATTGTGGAGATTTTTGCGGGCATATTCTTTTTGTTTAAGAGTAATTAAGAGTAAATAATTAAGAGTAAAATTTTTTTTTCTCTCACTAATATACTCATGTCATACATATATATATTTAAATCTTTCACTATTTCCACAGCTAACTTCCGAAAATTTATTTTTTTTTCACTTCATATGGGAAGAAGCTCAACATTAAACAAAAAGGGGGAGGTAATTTTTAACTTTCAAAAAAATATTTTTTGTTTCACTTCATGTGGGAATTATTTTTTGTATTTCCATATTTAGAACATGTGTATAATTTTTTTNAAAATTTTTTTTTCTCTCACTAACATACTCATGTCATACATATATATATTTAAAAAGGGGGAGGCTATATATATATATATATATATGCTCCATAATGTAATTTTTAACTTTCAAAAAAATATTTTTTGTTTCACTTCATGTGGGAATTATTTTTTGTATTTCCATATTTAGAACATGTGTATAATTTTTTTGAAATAAATAATTACCTCATCCATATTTATATACATTGTGTCATTACAATTACTAAACGATATTGTAATAACTGCGGTTTAAGGAGAAGATTAAACCTGAATATTTCCTAAGAAGATAATTAAACATCATAATGTCATTGATAAATTCATTTGCGTTAAAAAAAACTTTTTTTCATTCATTTTAACAATTATTTTTTTTATTGTTTAATAAGTATAAAATTTTAATGTTTATTAAATATTTACTATTTAGTAAACATAAGATTTATTTGGTTTAATTTCGTGATGGTATACGCATTATTAATATTTACTAAATCAAATTGATTAATTGATGAGAAAATTCTAATTAAATATAATAATTGTTATCATTATTTATAAATTGTATCTAAAATTAATTTGTATATTAAAACACCAAAATTCATCAATTGATCGATAAGATGTGAAAAATATTTAAAAGTTTCTTTTATATATATAAATAATGAAAATACAAAGAAGCATGACGGATTGATGCATGGATATAATGATTTTTTATATGATCATATAACCAATGCTTTTTTTTATAGTAATTCCAGAGAATATAAGGGCTACATTTGTTACATGCATTAATAAAAAAAATATATACAGTACACTACATCACTATTTAGACAAAATTCTTTATCAAGAACATAATGTACAATGTCTAATCGTCATCATCTATATCATAACGAGACGTGTCAAATAAAGTATCCTTATGTTTTAGTGATCATAAATGATCGGTAGGGTGCGTTGCAACGCCCCTGCGTAAAATTATTATTAATAAATTTTGAATCAATATTTATTTTTGGTTACTTTAAGTTTATAAATTTATGACCCAATCATTTTATGCAATCATTTTATACTAATGATAATGACCGAAAGTTTGGTAAAAGGAAACAAAATTATTCAAAAAAAAAAAAATCTGAAACAAGATGCAACTCATACAAGCAATGAGAATATCAATATCGTCATATTAAATTGAACTTAAAAAAAACATTACAATGACGAAACAGGTTTATTGATACTCCGACCTACCCCTTTTTTTACAATGAAAAATGAGAAAAAAGATGATAACCCTACAACCCTACAATACACAATACAAAGTGTACAAAAAAAAAAAATGTTTGTATTTTGATAAAGTACAATCACATGTTAGCTGCGATTCATTTCGCGTTTTCACTGACGCCACCAGCCCACCACACTTTTATGATTATAGAAATTTGTTTTAATTATCGATTATTTAGTGATAACTTTTTGAACAAAATGAATAAATGTTTTTTTTTCGGATAATGACAAATCCAAACTTATAAGATTGAAAAATGTTATAACTGATAACCACAAATAATTTCCGATCGATGAATGTGATTTGCAAATCAGTCCTATGTTAAGAGAGTCACCTAAAAAAAGAAAATAAAACGAACAGTTACTAATAATAAAAATTTTTAATTGTTTTTATATAATTTATTACGTCTTAATAAAATCATTTATAACTATTATATAAGATTAATTTATATAATTACTCGTTATTCGTTAATTGTTTTATTGTTTTTTTGGCTATGATTGATCGACAAATCACCTGATCTCTTCGAAATCAACAATTCTTTATTCCTTCATTTTTTAAAATTAATTTATACATTATTATAATCCAAACAGTAACTAACAAAGCACTTAGATTTAGAAATATCTTATTGAAAATATCAGGAGTTTGTAAAAGAAAATAATTAATTAAGGAAGGTAAATAAAGCACATTAACGTTTATAAATTCTTCAATAATGAAAATATAAACTTGATATTTAGGCAATATATCTTTATAAATTTCTTGATTCTTCTTAATATATACTTCTAAGTTTCCTCTACGATATGCCATTATTAATATCGTAAATTGAATTATAGATGTAAGAGAAATAGTAATAATTAAACACACGACAAAACTTTGTGTAAAATTTTCTTTTAAGTCATTAAGTAAAAAACCAAGTACAATTACAAAGAGAGTTAAAGCTGTATAGTTTACTAAGAAAAACGATTGAATAAAAATTTTTTTGGATCGATTTTCAGTTGATCGATTTTCAGTTGAATTCGATGATCGGAGGGTTGATTTGAGATTTTTAGTTGATTTGGGATATTCAGTTGAATTCGATGATCGGAGGAGGGTTTCAGTTGATTTGAGATTTTCAGAATTCGATGATCGGAGGAGGGTTTCAGTTGATTTGAGATTTTCATTTGATATGGAATTTAGAGTTGGAAATTTAGCTTTACTCGTTTCAATAAAATCCGTCATACACGTTAAAAAGTGACTAAAAAAAGTAGCTTGTGTTGATGGTGGTTCTATTTTTTGTTCCAAAGTCTTAACTCTTTCTTCAAGAATTTGAAATTTTGGTTGATATACTCTTTTAGGGAGGAAATTTTTATTAAGATTTTCTTCAAGAGTTTGAATTTGCGTTTTAATGCTTTCTCCAAAAGATTGTTCAATAGTTCGAATGCCTTCCTCAAAAGATTGTTTGAAAGTTTGAACATGTTCTTCAAAGGATTTTTTGAGAGGTTGAATTTTTTTTTGGACGCTTACTTCAAGGGATTTTTTAAGAGCTTGAATTTGTTTTTGTGTGTTTTCTTCAAAGGATTTTTTAAGAGTTTGAATTTGTGTTTTGAAGCTATCTTCAAGGGTTTGTTTAACAATTTTAATTTGTTCATTTTGTGCTTTGACAATTTCTTTAAGAGCTTGTTTAATGACTAAGATTTGCTTTTTAAATTCTTTTTCAACCTTTTCTTCTTCAGTTTTTGTTTTAGTTTTAAAGAAAATATAAAAATTTCCGATAATTTCAATTCCAAATAAAACAACTACAATATGCTGTAAAATTTTAATAAAGTTAGAAACTTTTCTAACTGGTGAAAAAATAAAAGCTAATTCTTGTTGTATGCAAATGTTAACAAAATATACAATTGACCTAGTTAAGTAAACTAATGTACTTGAACCATAGTCATCATATTCGTAGTCTACGATTACAAAAATGATTAATGGAACCATAAAATTGATTAAAACATCAATATAACCTAAGAACGCTTTTTGAGCGTAATCATCAGCAGATACTTGCGCCGAAACAAAAGGGCACAAAAAAGTGATAAAGATAATAAATAAAAAGGGCATTTTGTCGTGAATGATGGCGAAAAAAAGTAAAAAAAAATTTTTTATCTGGATTTATATTTAATTTACATATTTGAATTGCTCTATGCAGAAATAGAAATGTGGAACCTCTTCTACTTGATCACGCACCTCAAATATAAAAAAAAAAACTTTTTTTTAAAGAAATGTAACCAATGATTCTTTTTACTTGCATAAAAAAGATATACAATAGTAGAGCTCGGCCGAATTTAATACAGTGTTACATGTAAACTTTTTTTTCTGAAAGCTCAAAAAAAAAAAAAATCTATATATAAATAAGATCATTTGTACTTCGATGCGCAGTCATGCACGTGCATGGTGCGTGTACAGCATGGTAGTTTCCGCCTTAATTATATTTAAAAGTAATGTTTAATCAAATTTCCTTTATAAAAAAATCAAAACTAAACTAAAAAAGTATCAACAAATGAAAAAAAAAATGTTTCTTTTTTCAAATCTCCCGATTAAAGAACGTCAATAATAATTTTTTTTTTTTTCATAGAATTCAACTTAATTATGATTAAATAGCGCCCAATTTTTGAAATTCAATGCATTTCAAGATAATGATTATAAATATAATAATATAATTATTTATAATTAACAAACATAATTAAATTACACATGTACAGTATATATCTTATTCATTGAACATAAATCATTAAGAGGTATAGTACAAGGGATTTAAACTAATTGTACAAGATTATCATAAAAATTTTTTCATTACTGTTTTTCAGCATTGGTTGCCAAAAATATGTAGAATGCAAAAATTATTCAGGTGTACAACTGTACAATCTGTACGTTACGCCGTTATTCCTAATTCTCTATTTAATTGATCTAATATGGAATATTCAATGAAAACGGTGATTTATTTAGTTTAATATAACCTTGAAAAAAAAATATTTAAATTTTTTTTTTTCGCCATCATTCACGGTAGATTGTAATTATTTCGCTTATTTCAACCATAAAAATGTTCTTCGTTATTATCTTTATTTGTTTATTGTGTCCTTTTGTTACGGCGCAAGTATCTAATGATAATGATTATGCTTTAGAAGCATTTTCAGGTTATATTGATGTTTTAATTAATTTCATGGTACCACTGCTAGTTTTTTTAATCGTAGATTATGGCTATGAGTCAAAATCATTTGTTCGTTTATCTAGATCGCTTGTATTTTTTATCAATGTCGCCATACAACAAGAAATAGCTTTTATTTTTTCATCATTTAAAGTTTCTAACTTTGTTAAAATTTTACAACATATTGTATTTGGTTTATTAGGAATTGAAATTATAGGAAATTTTATTATTTTCCTTATTATTAAAAAAGAGAAAACAGAACCCAATCCATTAGAAATTTTAGAAAAAAAATTTGAAAAAAAGTTCAAAGGGGAAATTTATGACCTTAAAGAAACTCTCAAAAAAGCTGTCAAAACACAAAATGAACAAATTCGAACTTTTGAAAATAGCATTAAAACACAATTTCAAACTCTTAAAACTCTTCAACAAACCCTTGAATATAAGTTTAAATTACAAATTCAAAATCTTAAAAAATACTTTGATGAAAGTATTCAAATACTTGAAGAAATTCATGAATCAAGATGGAAAATTTTTACCCAATTTTTTGCTCAAATCATTCAAATCATTCAAATCCTTAAACAATTTTTTGATGAATATATTAAAACACAAATTCAAACTCTTGAAAATATTTTTCTCACTAAAAGAGAATATGAACCAAAATTTCAAACCCTTAAAAAAAAAGTTAAAACCCTTGAACAAATAGTAGATCCATCATCACAAAATAAAACACCGATAGATAAGGTAAACACATCGGAATCAGCTTCTAGTGATATAGAGGGAAAGTTGAATAAAGTTAAATTAGAGTTTAATGAAGCTAAATTAAAGTTTGCTGATAGTGATATAGATGGAAAGTTTAATAAAGCTAAATCAGAGTATGATGAAGCTAAATCAAAATTGAATAATGCATTTGAAGAAAATTTTGATAATACACAAGAGTTGAAACTTCAAGAAAAGTTGAAACTTCAAGAAGAGTTGAGACTTAAAGAAGAGTTGGAACTTCAAAAAAAGTTGGATGGTATGTTTCAGGATGTATATATAATTCAAGGAAAGGATGATATATTTCAAGAAAAGGATGATATATTTCAAGAAAAGGATGATATAATTCAAGGAAAGGATGATATATTTCAAGAAAAGGATGATATATTTCAAGGAAAGGTTGATGAAGGAAAGTCAAGTAAAAATTTTAACAAAGAAAAAATTTTTATTGAGATGTTACGCTTAGCAGCAAAGTTCACAGCTTTAACTTTTTTTGGAATTATACTTTGCTTTTTACTAAATGATTTAAAAGAAAATATTACACAAAGTTTTGTCATGTCTTCGGTTATTTCTGCTTCTCTTATATTTATTATTCAATTTACGATATTAATAACAGCATATCGTAGAGAAAAATTAGAAGTATATATTGAGAAGCAAGAAATTTATAATAATGTAGTATCTAAATATTATGCTTATTTTAGCATTATTGAAGAATTTGTAAGCATAAATGTACTTTATTTACCTTCCTTAATTAATTATTTTCTTTTACAAACTCCAAATATTTTCAATAAGATATTTCTAAATTTAAGCGCTTTGTTAGTTACTGTTTGGATTATGGTAATGTATAAATCAATTTTAAAAAATGAAGGAATGAACGAAAAGAAAGTGGAGAAGAAAGAGAAGGATAACGTAGCATGAAAAAGTTTAGATTTTGATTTTCACTTACTAGATTCTTAAAAAAATTATTCTATTTTATTTTATTTATATTTTTCCTTACTAGATAAATATTAAACAATAGCGTTTTTTTACTGGGACTTATTTTTTTTTTGTTATCTGATTTTTGTTTCGTTCAAAAAAATTTACAAAAAACGGCAGTTATTATTTTGATATTATATATTATTTTATCGTATAGTACTTCAAATTTTCGACACATCCATCATTCATAATGTTGGCCAACTTTCTTAATGCATTAGGCCGGTTGACATCTGAAGCAGTTAACATCTGGCGTATAAAATACGAAGTACAATAGACATAATTATTGTGATTTGCTGTGTTTTTTTTTCTCAATAATCGGTTAGTTTCGTTGTTTTGAGTAACATTTATAATTTTACTTCAATAATGAAAAAGAAACAGTATTTCTGTTAACATTATAAATAAAATAATTGCGAGATTTGATATTACTCATCTCCATGTCACAAATTGTCAAAATTTTCAAAAATGTTATTTATGACCCTTGTTAGGGCTCTAAGTAGTAAATTTGTATAGCAGGCAAAATTACCTTTTTTAAATTTTTCGTCAAAAATTAAGTTGTTCCTTTTTTGGAAATGATCGGCAAACGATCGGCATGACGCTCTATTAAATTTAGGTTTTTTTTTATGACGATTAGATCTTTGGGATTTAAACATCTTCTTTGCCTTTGGTGTCTTGCACTTCCCTCAATGAGATCAGTAAGCGATTGAGATAATGCTCAAGAAACAATCAATTGAAGCAAAATAAATAAAAATGGCAATCAACACGAGACTTAAATGATCATCACTCTCAGTTTTTTAGCCAATCAAATCGTGTAATGAATCAGTGCTTGAGAACGGCCTAGAGAACGGCCTTGAGAATCCTTTGGGATTTAATTACCTTTGTTTTTAGTTTTTGATTTTAATCTTTGGGACTTTGTTTTTTCAATTTTGGTTTTTTTTTTGGGATTTAATCACCTTTATCTTTGATTTTTCAATAAAAATTTTATTTGCAAAAAAATTAAAAGTCATCCATAAATTCACTCTTTTTCGAAAATGTTATTTATAAAACAATTTTTGTCATTGGTAAAATAAAATATGATGAAGGTGGGAAAATTTTATTAGATATGAAGGCAATAATAATGAATATGTTATTGTTTTGCCAGAGAAAATCAGTAAGTTTCCAAATAGTGTAAATTATCAAATAGCTATTTTTAATTTTTTTAATAACTACTTTTAATACAGGAATTCAATTAACTATTTTTTTTTAAAAAATTGCTGAACTTTCTAGCAAAATAAGCATCAGTAAATTTTTTGGGACATGGATCCTTAGAGATTCCTTAAATTGTCCTGGAATCCTTAAGGATCCAATAATTTACTAAATTATAAAGATCTTTAAGGATTCTATGAATTACTGGATCCTTAAGGATTCCTAAAAAAAAAAAATCTTTAAGGAATCCAGACTGACATACGTAATACTGTAATACGAAATATAGTTGACCATGATTGACTCGAGTCAAATATATATCATCGGAGAAAATTTTCCTAATGAAGCTCCAAAACGGCGTTATGAATTACCAGAACGATCAACAAAATGTGACGAACCAATCCGAAGCATCAAACCAACCACGTGCAAACTCTTCTGGGAGATTACAACTCAATGTCTTTTTATTATGTCTTACCAATATATTTCCTTGCAGGCTCAGGCTCAATATTCAGAAGCATCAGCTTATCTATCTGGAGTTCTGGACCCAATTCAAGCAACTTTTCGACCGAATCAGGGACGAAAAAAGTTTAACTTGAAGGATTTGTATTAATTATAGTATATATTTTAATTTTAATTAAATTATGAATTTCTTTTAATCATTCTATGGTCCAATGTACGAATTATTATGTAAATAACAATAATATAAAGAAAAAAATACTGATAAATTTTCATTTTTACTTAACCAGCCGGGCTCTTTCTTATATATTTATAAAGATTGATTTTTAAACATGTATATTCATGTTTATTATAAGTCACGCGATAACTGATAGTGTGATTAACAAAAAGAAATATTTTTGAAAATAACTTGTCAAAAACTTTGTTCCCTTAACTGAATATTTTTTAATTTTTACAATATATGATAATGCTTTGATATAAAATATTAAATAAAAAATTAATTTTTTAAAAATTAGTACTGACTGTGCCGCATTATTTTTTCATTAAGTATTATAAATCTATTTATTAATATTAACGTCTTGCAAAAAATTCTTTTTGTGTCTACACTCTTGTAAAAGAAAAAAAAATAATGAAATAATAGCGTGTTAATGTTTTTAATTTTCAGGTCAAAAAAAGAATATGTTTGTCATACATCCCTAGCCTTAAATCATGGAAATTTTAATCTTTCTAACATGGATATCCGTGAATGTATCATTTCACGGAATTTTACGAAAGCCACGGAGAAATAATGGAAATATTCGGATAAAATTTTTTAGGGCATAATCATGTATATTTTGACCGGGTCAAGAAAGTAATACGAGGAGGGTCAAGAAGGTAATTTTTGCGATAAGTGCAGAAGACGAATCCCTCAAAGAAAAAAGCTAGAATAGCCTAAAGAGGTGATATAATCCGTAGTTGATGATCGTGCCTCCGTAATTTTGTGGTGTTGTGGGTTATGGGGTTGTGCCGTTGTGGGATACTCTAACTTTTTTCGTCTTTAGGTACAAGCACCGGTCTGGATCTTAACATTTCTTTTTTTTTCCAGAAACAAGAGGTATATACATGATATCATTTTCATGCACAGCGCCTTCGACCAAATGTTCCCAGATTTATAATTTGATGTTGGGTTCACTATTCCAATTTTACAAGCATCGATAAGTAAATACATAATCTTTGTATGTATAAAGAATCACAGATCTGTTTTGACAAGCAAACGCCTCACTATAAAAAAAATAATAATAAAAAATAATGCAAAACAAATCTATTTTATTTACTTTACACTTACTTCACTCTGCACTTGCTTTGCAAAAAAACACCTTGTAGGCGTTGTGGCACATCTTTGAGACTTCACACTTTTTTATTCTTCTTAGCGCATGTTTCTTGAATTATGTCATCATGAAACCAATTCTCCAATGACTTCCTATACGTGATAATAAAATTGCTAATGAGCTTTCCACACGTATATCCGAAATTAACGAAATAATACGGCACGTGATGGAAGTATTACTACGGAAATCGAAAGAATCCTTACTTGATGTCTACAGAAAACTTACCGCAGTAGTTAATATTAAAATTGCCAACGAACTTTTCACATGTCTTTCTGAAGTTAATTCTACTTTCACTACGGAGCTCGGCAGAATAAACAATGAACTTAATCGCTAAAATCAATTCACGTGATGCTGGCTACATCTCTGAAATTTTATCAATGGTGACCAAATTCATAGTTTTGCGAAACTCTCCGAAATGAAATGATCCAACGTTATGCAATTGTTACCCAAAAACTCCAAAGACTTCAGGTCGAATTTGATCAGCTGAGCGTGGCCAATCAATCCGACCTACCTCTAGTAGCGAAAGTTCTTCTAGTCGATTATCCGATTCATCTCTTGAAAAAAATAGAAACCGTTTTAAGCGAGTTTTGCAGTAAATTTTTTATTTTTATGAGAAATCAAGCTTAGCACATGGTGCCGTGTATGCAATATGCAATAAAATAACACTAGCGCTAAAGAAATTTTTTTCATAACTCTGGCAACCCCGGTCCTATTACGATACACCGCATAAAATTCTGCGTGGTATAACAGCAGATTAAAAACCTCTACACATCACTGAAATAAACTCTGAAATAAAATCTCATCGAGCTTGAAAAAACATATTTAGCCTTACGTAATATTTATTCAGTAAGATTTTAAAAGCTGATCATTTTAATGAATTATTTGAATCGAGATTTTCAAGAGACCCAACATCTAAAATATATAATATATAAAAAAATGCCACCCCGTATTACTTATATAATAGCCTAAGGATTTTTTAGACTTAGCGCACCCTAATAATAGTTCAAATTTGAGATACAATATGCTAACTCTATAATATATTGAATTACATAATAGCTATAATCTTTTTTTACCTTGCTTTTATAGACTGGAGCAGAAAGTTTTAGAAGTATAACGAGAAGTTATTATTTTAATTTATGTTAGGTTGTATTGAGTTGAAAATTAATCTAAATAAAATATATTAAAATTACAAAAATCTACCTGCTTACACCCTGAGGGTAATATGAATGTGATGGATCGTAACTACAAAAATAACCAGTAGAGCAATCATGATTTTTGCAACACTTTTAAGCAGATGCAAAAGTAGCGAGGGTAATTAATAGGGGCAAGAGTGAAAAAAGGTTATATTTCATTTTGATTTTTGTTGGTCTTTATTATTATTATTATTATTTGTAGAGAGGAAATTTTTCTATTTTTTAAATTGAGTGGAGTCAAGTGTATTTATATATTAAAATCGGTATAATGTTTAGCAAAGCTTAAAATAAGCCAAAGTCAAGTCACTTACAAGCCCTATGATACAAAAGAGGAGAATATAAGAAATATAAACCAAATCTAAGCCAGATTTAAGCCCTTCTATAATGTTAGTTTTTAGGACTGTGCATAAGCCACGACCAAAATAATTAGATAAAGCAGACTTTATGACATGGATTTCATTTTTTATTTGGCTGTGAACAGTTTAAATTACCAATCCTTCCCAAAAAAGCATTTAAACAAGCCTCTCTATATTGTTTACACCAATGTCTAAAATAATCAGGTTAAAGCAATAACATGAGATACATTTATAATTTTTGGAACACAATACTTCATATTAACAGGATTTTTGGTTTAGAAGAATCCAGCGGGGCTGAATATGCCAAAACATCTAAAACTGCCGAGTTTCGCTTGGAATTTATTAAAGAATTCGATCATTTTTTTTTACGTCTCTTGTTATTATGATTTTAGATGCATTTTCGAGGTTTCGTTTCCTTAAATCCATATTTTTAATACAATTTTAGCATATCAAATGTATAATGCTAATTAGTTACCTTTATTTGCCAAAAAAGTTCAAAGGATTATGGTGCTTCAAACTTTTGTTCAACTACAGGAATTGCAATATTATTCTTAAATTTTTTTCAAGATTAACATTTGATCCAATAAATACATTTTTTTCGCTATTACTGTTTCCACCAGATTTAATTGTTTCAAAATTGACCCAAAGCGTGGATTTCCATGGATTGCTAATCATTCTATTTTAGTTAAAAATTAAAAGCGTGGAAATGGTGATCATCTTAAATTTTATTTTATAAATCTATTTTTAATAGTTAGTAGTCGAGAAATACATAATTTTAAATTTGACAATAAGAGTTTATTAACTTATTATGATTATTATGAATTTCCGAGATTTGAGGAAAAGTTTTATATTTTAACAAATAAACAAACAATACAAATTCACATTGCACATAACAACAGGTTTTTAATTTTGATTTTCTGATAGAGAAGTACGTTGAAAGCGTTTTATTATAAATCATTTTTTGTCATGAACATTTGCTCGCTTTTTCACAATCAGACCAGATAAGATTCATCATATAAGAAGAATCAAAAATTAGTTATTTCAGAGGATTTCACATCATAGCATGGTTTTCTTTTTTGATTTTCTGATAGAGAAATATTTAGAAACTGTTATAGTATTACCAATCATATTTATTAATCATTTTTAATTAAAATTTAATGCTATATTTTATAATATATTTAATTTTTTTTTTATTTTACTTAAAAAATACCATGAAATTTAATAAAAAAAATATTGTTTTTGAATAAAAATTATTTTTTTAATTGATTAATTACAGTTCTATTAATTGTATTAATTTTTATAATATTTTAAAAATTTAATACAATGAGTATAAGGCCTTTATAAAGAGGGCGATCAAAATTATCCACTTTTCGAAATAAAAAATTTTTATGCAAAAAATGTAAAAAAAAATAATTTAAAATCAATGTTTTATTTATGATTTAATTTATTATATTATGTAAAAAATTAATATTTAATTCTATCGCCATTTGCGGCAATAACTGCCTCAATTCTCTTAGGCATACTATTAACCAATTTTTTATAATATTCTGGGGGAATATCTTTCCACGCATCTTTAACATATTTTTCAAGCACTTTAATATTAGATGGTGGCGGTGTACGACGGCAAACCATCATTTTCATCTCTGCCCAAAGGTTCTCAATTGGATTGAGATCGGGACTTTGGGCAGGTCAATCAAGCACCACAATTTCAGCATTTTCGCTTGCTTCAGCATAAATAGGCACGGTATTCTATTAAAGTTTAAAAAATTATTACATATGTTAAAAATTTTTGATAGTGATAACATTTACTCCCAAGGAAAGTTCCTAAAATAAAAGATTGCATTTGTTAAGCATTTTATAAAACAAGTAATTAGATAAATTACTGAATTGACGTCTCTTTCTTATTAAGTAAAAAATATTTAAAATTATATTGAGCTACCCTAAGCTGGTTCATTGGCGTCGTTGAGTCACGTGAAATAAATAAAGCAATAAAACAAATATCTATGTTTTTATTTTTATGCAGATAACTTTACTTTTGCAAAATGGTTCGCTGCACCTTAATAATAGGAAACTTTATTTGCGACGACTGAATAATTTAAATTTGAAATTTTTATTTATTTTCTATTTACATTATATTACTTCTAATATGTCATTATTCTATTTACCCACAAGTACATCAAGTTCAGATACTCAAAAGATGCTTCTAAATGGTTGGTGGGTGATTTCAAATATAAGCCAACAGTTAATAATGTTAAAGCAGTATTTATCCAGGAAAGACACTATTATATTGGATGTATTGTATGTATTATTATTTATAAATAATTCACTTATTAAAACTATTGTTAAAACTTTGCAATTTTACTTTCAGGGGCAAAGAAGCTTTTGGTAATCAATATTTTGCTATTTTGTAGAAAAATTTATATATTTATTGTTTTGAATGGTTATGACGCGCTACGAAAAAAAAAGAAAAACTTAGAAGAGTTAACATTATTTATGAATTCGCAGGTTGATTTATAAAGCACTTATTTGTAAAATGATTCACTTGATTTGGTGAAAGGCTAATAGAGAAATATTTTACATAATAATAGAGAAATTTAAAATCAATTTAGAAAATCTAGAGTGCAGCGCGTGATTTATATTTTTATGCATTGTTTTAGTATTGTTATCTCAGCAACAGTACGAATTATAAATTAATTAAAATGTCAGTGTTTGGCAGATTCGGGATTAAAATTTTATCAAAATTCATTTAATTCGGGCTAAGAATTCCTGAATATTTCACCTGTTAAAAAATGGTTCAGAAATGCAAATAGTATACGTGATTGTGCGCAATACAAACACGTTTTACCTTGAAATTAATAAATTGTGACACGCTAGAGCGGTTGTTTATATAATAATCTTTTCATCAAATGATAAGTCACATGACTTAAAAGATTATTCCAGTAATCTCATATAGTTGGCAATTTTTTCATATGCTATCAAAACTTACTAATTGTGCAACATTGAGTATAAGTAATTTACAATCGTTATTAACAAATGAATTATATATTAACAATATAATAAATGTTTTGAGTTTAGGACATAATTGATATAAACGCGCAATAGCACGAATACCCAAATCAGTAACATTCCCACAGTTATATACAGTATATCAAGATGCTCTAATTTATTGCATTAATGCAACGTAGTGTAAGAGTGCCTGAAATTTCCTCAATCACAGAAGGAATATAGCTTTGAGAGAAGTTTGATTTAGTATTTCAATCCATTTATCCGCAATCCGTATCTGTGGACGGATATTCGTCATTTATGGTTATCCAGATAGGATTTTTTAAACGGATTGGAGGATATTCGTAACGGATCACCGTATCACTAACGGCTTCTGGTGGATCGTAACGGATCATCCGGATATTATCATACAGTATGAAAAATTTAATTTCGTTAGATCCTTCGGTTCTTCGACCACCTGGACTTCGGAGACAATAGTTAGGTTGACTTTTTTTATTTCTTTTTTTCGTTACTTTTTTTTTTGTTTCTTTTCACTAATTTCATTTTTCTTCTTTAAGTCCTTCGGTTCTTCGGTCACTCAAACCCCATATATTTAGATTATCAAAGGATATCCGATGGATCCGTTAGGATATCCGGATAATCTTCAATCCGTCACTACGGATAACCGGATTGTATTTTATTAGACGGATCAGATTGACGGGTGACGGATATTAAACGGTCGGATTGACGGATAACGGATTATCCGCGGATTGAAACACTAGCGTTGATGAGTATTGGTATATACATACATATACACATAATTTCTTATAATTTTAGCAGACCAATAATAAATAAGCTAAATTATATCAGGAAAGATACAATGTAACCTATATACTATGTACTACAGTATATACGAATCCCAATTAATTTCCCGAATACCGAAACCAATATCCGAATCCCCGAATCCCATTAGATATCTCGAAATGGCAAATTTCCCGAACCATCCAATATTATTAACCCGAATCAAAATCCATTATCCCGAAGCAACAATTTACTAATAGAATTACCCAATTTATCATTAACTAAAAATTTTTACCTAAATAAAAATTACCTATTATAGACAAAAATATAACTGTCAATGACTCTTATTGGATTTTATATTCAATTAATGCTAATTACTTGTTTTTATGAGGTCAAAATTTTCCAAGAAATTCCGAACATAAATGGTTGAAAATATTGTCGTATTAGTTATTTACTGATCTAGTAGTATATAAATGGATCAATGGATCATCATACTAACCATTTATATACTACTAGATCTACTGATCAGTAAATAACTAATACTTATATATACCCTTAATATATATATGTAAACAACTAGAGGACTCATTTTTAAATTACTTTATAGTTACGACACATGACTTAACTAATTACGTCACAGTTACCATAAATATATTTATGATAATATTACCCAATGACAATTTTCAATAACTTTTCTCATTTTACCGGTAAACTTTATATAGAGTTTCTGGGATCCTGTTACAGGTCAATTTTTTAAATTTTTAATCTTTTATACATTTCGTTAAATTTAAAAGTACAATATATTTTCACATCCTTTCTAAACACATTATTTTAAATAATTATGCGTATAATCGCAAGGAGAGTGCATCTATAGAGTTTTGACTATATCGGTTTCGGGGTATGAATAAAAAACGATAAACAAGCAAATTAGCCGACATGCATATTTACATCAAATTAAGTAGCACAATGTTTATTACATAAATGACCAAATTTTGACCTGTAAATTTATTAAAGAGACAAAGCTTTCAAAGCAACTCACTTTTGAACTTTAGAATACTATATATTATAATTCAATTAAATGAATTCCACCGTTGGATTTTGGGGAGAACCCACTTCTACAGGTATTAATGACTATTTTCTAGAAATTTTATATTCATTGCGCCACAATATTAACTCATCATTCGAAAAAAAAATGTTAAAAATATATATATATATAGTTGGTGAGTTAATATTCGATTTTTCTTATTTGTTACTTTACTGCTAGCTATACACATGTCTTTATTTTTAAAAACAATTTCGTTGGATTCGTACACTAGATTGGTGCGAGAATAATTATGAAGTATCATATTATATCGCAGAATTTTTTAATACCTTATCATCGTTATGTCTCATCTGCGCAGGAATATTCGGCTCTATGATGCATTCTAAAGGTTTTGATTATAGATTTTCATTATGTTTTATAGCGTAAGTTTTATAAATCAAATAATTTTCACCTTTGCAAAAATTAATCGCTTTCAATGATATCTTTAGAATTACGTTTATAGGATTCGGGTCAATTCTATTTCACGGAACACTAATATTCCCGTTTGAACATTTTGATGGAATACCAATGATTTTTTATTTATTGATATTATTTTATTCGGTAAATGAAAATAAGAAGGAAAGAAAATTTGGGAACTGGTTCCCAATCACCCTTTTCTTGTGGGGATCGATTTTTTCGATATTATTAATATTTTTGGGGGAATATTATGAAAACAGAATAATGAAATTAGTTGAATTTTATATCTTTCAGGGTGGGAAATTTTACTTAAATTGACGTACCGAAAATTCGAGTAAATTGCAATTTTAACTATCATCTCATTTTATATAGGTACTTTCTTCTTAATGTCTATTTGCGTATATCTACATATAATTGCAATCGTAATTAATTTAAAGGATGAAAAAGGTATAGGAGCATTAATGATTCGAGGATCTACAATATTTTTAATTGGATACATTGGATGGAATATCGATTATCATTTTTGTACCGAGATGAATAAAATATTGAATCCACAATTACATGCTTGGTGGTAAGTTAACAACAACCTTTGCCCGATAATACTGATACCATCTTGAATAATCATTCTATTTTCCATATTAGGCATGTGACAGCGTCATATTCATGTTACTCTTTACTTTTAATCGCGATATTCGACCGGTCAAAAACGCTTGGAAAAAATCCAAAAATTAAATGGGTGTGTATTATTTTACCGTATGTGGGATTATCGGATGAATCAGAGCAATATCTACCTTCAAAAGTCATGTCTTCAGCAGAAAGAGAATTGCTCATGCAAGAAGTCTCGGTTGAAGACTGATTAACAAAAATAATAAATAACAAAATTATAGAGATAATAATAGAGGATGATAATAGACATTTATTTTTGTTAACGTACATCAACATAGTATATTAATAAAAACTCTTCATCATAAAATCTTTCTTTATTCTAGTTTTTTTTTATTTGATTTGTAAAAATTTTGAAACCCATTCTCAATGTTTTTTCGTTATATATAAATCATTTTATTAATTAGCTTAATTTCAATGACAATTTTCTACAAAGCCTGAAGAGCGATTTCTCATAGATGAACGTAAAAGATGAAATCTTGAATATCATAATACCCCAAATAAGCAGAAAAAAGCATATTGTATAAGTAGTTGTCAAATAAATTTTTAAAATCTTTTACAGGATCTGATCACTTGATAATTTTTATTAGATGACATGTAAATAATTTGAAGGGTGAGAGTAAAAATATCACAAAGAATCTATGAGTATTTTTTTGTGAAATTTTCAGACTGGTGTGATACTGTTATCTTTTATTATTTCTTTTATTTACAATTAACACATACTCAAAAGAACTTAGCGTCTTTACAATTTATAATAAAGGATTTTTATTTTGAAATATCAATCGACATTATTTTTTATAGAACACGGACATTGTCGTCATTAGCTTAAAAACCCGTGATGGTACAATTATCTCTGCCTTTTGTAATAATTGTAATAATGGATAGCAAGTGGGAAGATGCGAAATTGAAATTAAATGAACTGAAGTAGAACGTGGGATAATAAAGGCCCTTCTTCTAGATATTGATATAGAGAAACGTTTAGAATACCTTTTGCGGGGAAATGAAGAAATAAAGGTTGCTCTTACAACACTCGCTTCTCTTACCTTTTGATATCCGTTATTTTTCCTATCAAATTAAATGCAAATTTGATTGGTTGATCCGGGCTCCGCAGGAGTCCGTGATCAACCGATTGCTGTTTGGAAAAATTAAAAGATCAACCGATTTCACAGTAATTTACTGCGTCTATTGTACAATGAGTTCGGTGATCATTTATGTTTTATTTGGGAGCTGGAAAGTGGAAATTGATTAGCATCGTAGGGTAAACTAAATAAAGAATGCTTTTTTTACAAAGATTTTAGTAATAAAAAGTGTTTTAAATATTTGTGTCGTGTGTGAAAAAAAAAGAAGAAATAAAAATGATATGTTTTAAGAAGCTAGCCAAACAATAAACCAATCCTACCTTATTATTACTTTGCGGAATATAATATGAGTTCGTTTGATTGTAAATATCGATGATGCAAATAATGGTAAGTTAAATTAGTTTGATTAGTTTCGTTCGATTTTTATTTTACTTGTATGAGGCGGATAAAAAGGTTCACTAACCAGGACATCACCTCTTTATATAATTCGCAGGATCGGTTTTGGTCTCTCCTTAATTTAACAATAAAAGAATTTAACGCTATCCATATGTAAAGGTCATCATGGGCATACCGGTTTAATCCGCGCAAATCATTAATAGTTAACGTTAATTGCATATGTTAGAACCTTCAGGAAAAAAAGGACTGATGCGGATTTGAGTTCGTTGATGACAACGCCTAATAAGCGACCGTTGGAAATGGAAGTTTAGCAGTAAATCTCCCGGCTATGTATCACTTAACGAATGAAAGGCATCTAATAGTTTCTTGTCACGCAAATTTCTCCAGATACTCCGAATATATATCCGTAATATGTGCTTTCAATAAAACGATTTTGGAGTTAACTCTAGAAAGTACGTGGTCAATTGCTCTGGAAAAGTACATACGCAGTACTGGAAGCAGCAGTACAGGTTGGAGTTTCGAATGAAATTTCCGGTTATATTGCGAGAATGTCCTTCTCGATTGGTCAATTTGAGAGATTTTCATCACCACTAATATAGTTCCGGTTAATGAAATTTTATTCAAATAGTTTTTTTTTGCTAATTAACGAAAAAAGTTTAATTCGTTTTACTAATCAAGTTTTGTAAGGTGTTAATATCTGATATTGTTAATTAAAATAAACATTGACTTCTTTTTTAGTTATCACCTTGTAGATATAAACTCTATAATGAACCGAAACATAAGCGAGCGGAAATTTATTACATAATTATTAAATAATGTTATAATACTATAATTTGTCACGTAATATTGTAATACCACACAGGTAAAAAATTAGAAATTAAAAGTTTTATTTCTATATAATTAAGTATTTAAAGTAATACAAATTTCTAATAAATAATTAAAATACTAATATAAATTCTAGCTCTTTTCTATTATGAATTTGGATTACACAAATGACAATTTCCACCATACAATTTACTTAAATTTTTTAATAATTCTTTTTCACGTAAATTCATACTTTCCAGATCAGTTCCAGATACTTTCTTTCCTTTAACATAAACAGATTTAAGATTCCTTTCATCACCAAGAAATATAAATTTTTCAAAAATTCTTTCAATATCTTCTAAATCATCAAAAATATCTAAGGGAGATTGACAAGCATCAGGATCAATTAATAAAGCATCAAATTCTTTACCAATTAGAAAATTTCCGATAATCTTATCAAGATTGACCAATTCAGCACCTCCCATTGTAGCTAAATAAGTTAATTCAGGTAAAGTAAGGTGCGGAAAAGATTTATTCAAAGGTTTATCATCAACTTTTGAAGAAGCCATAAATACAACGCGACTTGCTATGTTTGCATTTCTTATAGCATTTAAAATAGATTTTGAATAGCCGCCACTTAAATCAGTACCCAAACCAACTTTAATACCTTCATCTAATAATTGTCTAACGTTACATACACCTGAACATATAGCAAAATTTGAAGTAGGACAATGTGATATACCAATATTACGTTCTTTAATTAATTTAAGTTCTTTTGACGATAAGTGTATTCCATGAGCCATAATCGTTTTTTCATTTAATAATCCATGATGATCATATACTGTTGTATAATCTGGTAGATGTGGAAATAATTCTGAAATAAAATTTATTTCTCCTATATTTTCTGATAAATGTGATTGAATTGGCATATTATATTTTTTTGCTAATAATCCAAGTGAATCCATAAGTTGTGATGTACAGGTGATTGCAAATCTAGGTGTAATTATTGGATAAACGAGTCTCGATCCATTTTCTCTTCCTTCATCTTTTTCTAAATTTAACACATATTTTATAAATTCTTCAGTTGATTTAACACTATTGTCTAATGACTCAATATAATTCTCCGGTGAATTACAATCCATATTAACTTTTCCAATAAACCCTCTCTGTCCTTTTTCTTTGACTAATCTGGCTAAATATTTACTTGATTCAAGATGAATTGTTGTAAAGTAAACAGCTGTTGTCGTTCCACTGCGCAATAAATTATTTACTACTATTGGATAAACTTTCTCAGCAAACGATAATGATGAGTATGACTGTTCAAGCGGAAATGTATATTTATTCAACCAATCAAGTAGTGGTAAATCCATACCAGTTCCTGCATTTGGATATTGTGATGCATGTGTATGAGTATCAATAAATCCAGGCATAAGAAATTGTCTTTTACTCAATCTAATAACCTCTTGTTCAGGAAATTCCCATTGAGAAATAATATGAATCAAAGTTATTTCGTCTAAAACATTTTTTTCTAAGAAAGCTATCTTTCCAGAAATATCTACTCCTAATAAAGTATTTTGTAGGATTTCAAGATTGGCAAGAGATAATGAATGAATTAATGTTCCATAAAAGACTTTGGAAATTTTATTTGGCATTTTAGTTTTCTTTTTTTAAAAAAGAAAAAAAAAACTAAAATCAAAGGTTTACCCCTTTTACCAGAGAGTTAAGGTTGAGTGTTTCGACCTATGAAAATCTGTCATCTGATTATCGTTACATCTGTCTGACAGATCGAAAAACTATTGCATAATGTTATACGAAATCCAAAAGGAAATATTTATGCAGATCATAATTAAGGGTACCTTAATGAAAATCACTTATGTAATATCTAACATAGGATAAAATTTTTTTTTACACTTTATAGCATAAATTTGATTATTGGTAGATAGTAAAGGATTTAAAATTTAAAATTTTATTAAATATTTATATTTTTCTGTATTTTCTGTATTTTTTATTTATTTTTTATATATAATACTGATATGACCTGACCTGACCTGACCTGAAAAAAAATTTCAGGTCAGGTTTATCAATTTACCTGACCTGACCTGACCCATTTGGAACTCTAATTGTAATTATTAGATAATCTAACATTAATAACTTTGTAATCTAATATGGATTAAATCTTAGTTTAAAGGCAAAGAATTATTTGAAGATGATCAAGACGATCAAAATAGTATCAAAATAATGATAGCGAAATTAATCAAGAAAGTGGTGCGAAAGAAATAATTAATTAATAAATGGTAATTTCAATAGAATAAAAAATATTGCTAATGAAATTTAATATCCGCAAAGGCAAAAATAAATTATTTAGTATTTAGCACATAAATTAAATACATTAATTAAATAAAGTACTGATGCTAAACAACTTATGATTTGTGCATTGTTCATCACATGATCTGTGCATTATTATTACGTTAATCTATAAAATTAATCGCACTGATCATTGTTACTTTCGCAGAACAACGTGATTTTATGTTGATCAGCATTATATTAAATTCGATATTGAACAATGCATTGTTTTACACTTTTTAAATTTGCCAATGTATGCCAAACATCGAATGTAATAATTATACGCAGTAAATTCAATATTTTGATCTTTACAAGTTTTTTCTAATACTTTCATGAAAGTATCATTATTTAAAGCAGCATGCTATAATTTATAAAGAATTATTAAAGAAAATGTTAATTATAATTAATTAAAAAAAAATAGTTAGAACAAACATAAATAATAATCCCTTTG